ACCCCCCCCCCCCCCCCCCCCCCCCCCCCCCCCCCCCCCCCCCCCCCCCCCCCCCCCCCCCCCCCCCCCCCCCCCCCAGCCAGCCAGCCGTTGGGATGAGATGGGAGGAGATGTGAGTGAGACTGAGAGACTGAGAGATGTCTGATGGATACAGGCGGATAAAAGCAGAGATACGGAACAGATAAAGAGATGGAGAGAGAGACAAGATGTTGATACACGGCAACTCTGTACTCGACTCGTCTGATGGATGCATGGACAAGTTGCCCGAACAAGCAACCCGGAAAGCTGGCACAGGCCTCCATGACCATTTTCGCACACGCAATCACGCACGCACCGGCTGATGACCGTCTGTCTGTCTGCCTGTCTGTATGTACGAGTATGTACATGCATGCACGCACTTGGGAGACAAGGAAAAGAAAAGAAAAGAAAAGGCATTGCCCGTGGATGGTTTCCCGGCTCGGCACTCGCGGACTTGTCTTCTCCGCCCATGCATAAGAGGATTGGGGGTGGATGAGTCCATATGATGCCGAAAGATGTCGAATACATACCTATATTCGCCCATCGCCAAAGCAGCAGTTCGCAAAGTACATGTACAGTAACTCCATTCCCTTCCCAGGCCTGGAAGCCAAGCAGTCGGCCAAGTCTCGCTGCTGCATGGAAGAGTTCAATGGATCAATCAATGTTCAATTCCATCCCCCTACAAGGCAGCACCGATTCACCACCTACAAATGGATGGAAGCCAGGGGGGGCTGTGCTGGGGGGGGGGCTAAAAGGCTCCGTCTAGTGCTAAACAAGCTCCATGCTACAGTGGACAAGCTACTGGAAGCTCGGATTGCCTCCCCTTGGACCGCTTTTTTTTTTTTTTGGCTTGCCGGCTCCTCAACAGCTTTTCCTCGCGTGCCGTGCCCCTCTTTTCTGCTACGAGGATACCTGTCGCTGCCAGCTGAATTGTAGGCACGAGACAAGTAGCCGGCTAGCGATAGCCCCCCCGAAGCGCCCCCGCCCCGGAAACGGCCCAGTGCCCGGCTCGACGGGTGCGTATTCGTAAAGGCCAGGGTCCCAGTTGGGCTTGTACCTACTTGTACCAGTAGCAGCATCGCCAACTTTGTTGAGCTTTGCAGCTTCTACCTACCTCTAGATAGCATGCAGTCAGTCCATGTATGTACATGCCAGTTATGGCTTGCTGGAGGCATCCATGCATGTACTCATACCGATTGATCCATTCATTCTCCGCTTACTCGCACTGCCAAACGGGGTAATTCCAAGGGCCATTCCCACTTGCAATCCTGTGCTGTGCTGTGCTGTGAATGCTACTATTGATCCATTCGCTTTTTGGGTCATGCCACCAAAAGCCTCCTTTCCTCAATGCGCTGCACCGCTTGTTTTCTTTGGGTTCCCGCCTCGTTCTCGTTGCGTATAAGTAACTGCCGACATCGCCATTCCTCTCTCCGCTCTTCTCCCCGAAACTTTTCTCTCTTACTCTCTTACTCTTACTCTCTCTCTCTCTCTCTCTTGCTTTTCCGCATCCACAGCATCCCATTCCATCTCGGCGCATTTCTACTGCCGCCCAGTCCCGACTTGATTGTTGCGTGTGACTCTTTTCCAACATCCATCTACATCCACCACCACCACCGACATACAGACATAACATCTCCCATCATCTTCAAACATCAAACGCCATGTCTCGCGTTACCGCCCCCGTCGCAAAGCTCTCCCGCGCCCTCAGCTCAACCGCCGCCCGCGCCGCAAACCCGCTGCTCGACGCTTCCACTTACAATGCCGGCGCCGTGCTGATGCCAAAGTACGCCGAGCTGCTGCGCAACCGAAGAAGCACCATTGAGCTGTCCGAGGCATGTCATGTCAATCTCACACTCATACTCTTTCCCCCTTCTTCTTCTTCTTCTCTTCAAGACCGCTAACAATTCGATTCAATTCAATTCAGTCCTCTCGAACCCTCACCACAACCCACCGCCCAACCCCCCAGCCCTCCATCGCCAACCGCGCAAAGCCTCTCATGCAGACCTTCTCCAGCTCCGCCTCGCCAGCAACAACGCCCTCCTCCCACCTCGACGCCGCCATCCTCCCCGGCCTCGCCAGCCTCACCTCGTCGGCATCCTTCGCAGACGTCCTCCCTCGCATGCCTCTTCTCCCGGACAACTACGCCGCCGCGCATCCCGCCCCGGCCGCCGACATGCCCGTCTCCATTGCCAGCTCGTCCATCGTCGCGGTCAACCCCGACACGGTCCTTCCCGCGACGCCGCTGTCTTCGTTGAGCGGTGTTTTGGACACCGTTGAGCTCAAGTTTGTGCATGAGACGCCTGCTGCCGTGGCGCACGACGAGAGCCGGAGCCAGGGCATGATTCGGGATATGTGGAAGGGCATGGTTGAGGATGTTTTCGGCTCAAATCAACCCATTCGCAAATCAAACTAAACACCCACTCGTCTTTGCTTTTCAAACCATGTACATTGCATTTTTTCTTTTGCTTGCATGAATCTTTTTCTTTCTTTTTCTTTTTTTAAGAGCTGTTGCTTCATTGAACACATTTGTCATGAAGACAAGCCATCCCAAAAAAGGCATTATGAAAGCCGTGGACAGAGTCAAGAGTCCCCTCGTTATGAAACCGAGATATATATAGGAAATTTTAATCAAAACATCTTCATTGCATCATTGCATTATTTAAACTACCAGTGTCAATTCGCGTTACCCGTTCTGTGATTCATCTTCATCGTAGCTTATTCTCCACGCGCCTAATGGTCAGCTTTCAACATATCAAATCATGAATCGATGCAGCGAAAAAAAACAAGGCCTTATTTTCTTGACAAACTATCGGCGCCGAGTCAATCTAATGCTCGGCGCCGTTATGCTGACTCTCCGGGGGATAGTAGCGCCTATATAACATCATTGCGCACAAAAAAAAAGCGTCGTGGATCAGGTATCGTCTTCTCGTCCCGACAATCCCATCTTGGTCCCCTTTCTCCATCAACTTTGGCTTCACACACACACACATATGATCTCTTTGCTCCACCGTCCTGGAAACTGATCATGCGACCAAACAACCCACAGCCGCCGCATCCATTATTATACACCGCCATCTCGTTCATCGTCTTGATGCCATGTCCGTTTTTACCTCTTCTTGGCTGATGGCCTAGGCTTGCACTCGTCGTTGTTTACGGGATGGAGCATGACCTTGATGGGGTAGTTTTGCGTGTTGTGCTGGAAGCCCTTGCTCCAGTCGTAGCTAATGGCGTAGGCAAAGATGCTTCCAGTCTTGTTGAACGTCGTGGCCGTGATGCTGCCGCCCACGTTGGGGTAGCCCTTGAGACGGTGCTTGGCATCCTTGTCCCAGAAGTGGAACGTGCCGTCCGATCCCGCGGTGCTAAAGGTGCCGTGGACCGGGTGGAAGGAAATGTCGTTGACGGCGTGCACGTTGACCACGTTGTTGACGGCCGGGTCACGGTGGCACTTGAATGAAAAGTTGGATCTGGGCCGAGTTAGGTCGAAGTGCTTCGTCAAAGGTAATCAGGCAAAGACAACGAATGGGTGCTGCAACTTACGAAGAGTCCTTCTCCTCCACATACTGAATAGCGCAACGGCCCTCGATGCTACCGATCGCGAAGCCCGTCGAGTCAGGGAAACAGCTGACGACTCTAGTCTGCCACTTAAGGGGGCTCTGCAGTGTCTTGTAGAACTTCGTGGGGTTTTTGAGGTCGACGACGTTGATGTACCGGTCGGCGGTGCCGACGACGAGCAGGTTCTGCTGCACATCCATGGTGTAGACACGCTCCTGGCATGCCAGGGTGGCGGCAGGCCCTTGCTGGCGGAGATCCCAGTACTTGACCGTCTTGTCCCACGAGCCCGTCACCACCATGGTGCCGCTGCCGCTGTCGAAGAAGCGCACGCTGCGTACGGCCTGGTCGTGTGTTCCGATGACAATGTCTTGCTGGGACGCCAGGTCGCAGACCTTGACGTTTTTGTCTGCACCGGCGGAGGCTACTTTTGTTCCATCCTATTTTGGGGGATGTTGTTAGTAATTGGCAACTTGACTGAATCATGCATGCTCTCTCCATTTGTCGCCGTATCTCTTCTCTTCTTCCCCTCTGCCTCAGACGTCATAATATGCCCTTGCTTACCTTTGAGAAATCACACCCCAAAACAGGCTGGCTGTGCTCAAACGCGTGACGACCCTGGCTCTGCCCATTCTGGGCGATTTCGTAGATGCGGACCTTGTTGTCCCAGCTGGAGATTGCGAGGAAGTCGGGTCCGTTGGCGGCCGGCGAAAAGACGAGGTCCGAGATGCTGTCGGTCGGAGGATTGTCGAGCGCGACGTCCTGCTTCAAGTCGCCCACCGTGGTCGACGCCGCGGCGCTCGCCGCTGCGGAGCCGAACAGGGACATGATGTCGGATATCTAGATCGAGCGTCGCCAAGATGCCAATCTCGATTGTTTTTTTTTTCTTTTTCCGCTCGGACTCGGTATCGAGTTTTTTTCAACCTGGCGCGTAACAGCGCGAGGTCTCCCGTCTCGTGGGTTTCTTCGCCCTTCTTCCTCGCCCTGGATTGAGACGGGCTGAAGGCTTCGGAGATGCTTTCGTTCGTCGCCAATGTGTATCCCCGGCGGCGTCGCGCTTTTGGGATGGAGGATTTATAGGCCAAAAGTTGCAGCTCCAGGCACGAAGGCAGCGACCTAGCATTTCTCAACGCGACGCTCGGATTGGCTCCCCAGCCCACAGGCAGTCAAAAGACACAATCCGATAGCTGCATTGTGTTGTTTTAGTGCATACACCTACTAGGCACTGCTTTGCGCCCCACTAAAAACTCCACCACTAGAAAAAAAAAATCAGAGCTTGATGCATCGAGTTTTTTCTTCTTCTTTTTCTTCATCCCCCTTTGCTCAACAAATCGCCATTCGAAGCTTACAGACGGAGATGCTGCTCGTCAGCGTCTCGTGATATTTCTTTCACGACCCGAGCTTTGGGAGAAAGTCCCCGGACGTCTCCTTTTTCGGAGCATGCGGAAACGCGCCGCCATAGAAGCACTGCGGCTGACCTCCGCGCCTTGGCCCAGCTGAGGCATCTGGCCCTGCCTACTGCTAAATCCGTCTTCGCGAGACATTCTTGCCAACCCTGTTCTTTGCGCCTCTGGCCCCCATGGATGAAGATACGAGTCCGAGCTGGATTGGCTGTGAGGAGCAGGGCCGGTGATGTCGACTGGGGGTGGATGGTAGGTGGACGTTGCGGTGTCACGGCTGCGGTATCGGGTGCAGAGGATTTGTTGTCGAGGTCGATAGTTATGCGATTGCCCGGCGGAAGCTTGGTTACTCGATGGGGCCCATTCTTGATGCAAAGGGGGAACCCGTCAACACCATGACGGTAATCCTGTTTTTTTTTTTTTTTTTACACTCTAAAACTTCGCTGGAAGTTTTTTCATTCTATCTAACTGGATGCCCTTCATGGTGGAGATGGTCAGAAGCTCATATGATGATGACCAATATAGAGTCAAGCACCGAGTCAAGAAAACCTTGCCGTTGTGGATAACAATATTTTCATGTCAACTGATAGGCTTCTGACACTTTACACTTGATGGGGGGCATCTTTGGTTTGTTTATTTTCTTTAGAGATTAGGTAGCTCATGTCTTGGGTCAAGTGATCCAGCCACTTGTTGTGGTTTCTCTACAGACGCGAGGTTTACACCTCGTATTGGCTGATATTGCCAAGCTATAAGAAGCCTCGTAAACTGTGTGATTCGAATAAAGCTGTAGACTACGCCAAGCGACCACAGAGTACGAGTATTCGGCACAGCGCCGAGACACTCCCCCCTGTCGCCAAACCATCATCTGTCAGCTCTCACAAAACTGCCACGAGAGGACAAGAACGAGATTGAGATGAGAGAAATCAAATGTCATCGGTAGAAACCCTGCCAAGCCACCGCGGCCAGCACTGACACGCCAGACTCAACTCGCAACGGCCGCCAAATGGGCGATCGGCTTGAAATTACAACATCTTGGCGCCGTCTCTCTTCTCCCCCCCTAACTAACGCGGGCTAAAGTGTGACAGAAATGCCAGAAGCTTGCCGGAAGCGGCTACGGATTGTAGATCGAGGGGTCAGCTTTCTGCTTCCTGCGCTTTCTTCAATATTTAACCGGCCCTGAGGGCTACAGTGTATAGAATCTCGTTCCGTACGGACTAAGATGCGTGCTGTGGCTATTACAGTGCGAATTGATTATTGTCACATGTATCACTTGAATAGCTCACTCAACAAGTACCCATTTTCTGTTCTACTTCCGGCTCTAGATTTGTTTGTACTTCCGGCACTGCAGTATCTGAGAACGGGATTTTCTTCTCTTTTTTGAAAGCTTATTCTGTAAGATTTTATAGCATCATAATACTCAACTCATCTAATGCAATGTAAATCCTTATTAAACCACAACACCGCAATGCTCTCAAGCTCAAGTAGTCATAAGCGACGAGGTTATACTTGATTCCTAGGCCTTATATCACCAGTTGCAAGGAATTGTATCCATTCCTCAAACGTGTGGTTGATGCGTATCGGGTTGCCTCGCGCATCAAGTGCCCAATTTCTTGTATACATATCCCTATACGGCCATGAATCTTGTCGCACGGTCTTTCCAAATTTCTGGAGGTGGCTATTTTAGTGTTAGCATATCTCCTAGCTGCGAGTAAGTCAAGGAGAACTTGCGTATAATTTAAATATAATAGATATCCGTATTGAATAAAAGAGTTGATGATCGAGAGTATAAGAAGAACTTGGTGCCACGAACATCCTTTTGGCCAGAGGGCAAAGTAGACGATAGCACTAGAGATCATGGTAACATAACTTTGGAAATCAGGATACGCATGATTGTATTCTTTGATGAGTGCCTGCTCGATTTGGAACTTCAGCAGTGATTATAGGACAGCTTGATAATGTCTTACCTCAACGTCGCTCCCATAGTACTCTGGCAAGAAGTAACTCAGCTGCCTTGCAACAAACGTCCAGTAAACAACCTCCCACCGCCAGCCTTGAAACTTGGGCCCAACCCAGATGAAGCTCAAGATGGATGGGCCCCAGCTTGGAAAGCTGGACACCAATAGCCCGTAGATGATGTCCCAAGCTGAGTGGAGATTAATCTTCTCTTTGCTGAAGTAGACAACGCAAATGCTAGTGGTGCCAATGACGTAAACGTGTGCGAAGGCAGTTAAGATTGAGGAGAAGAGGTAGAGTCGGGCGTAGATGGGGATAATTAACAAAAGTGCAATGCGCACCATGTCGCGGAAGGCGGTGTGGGAACGAAGCGGCGTTGTGCCAAGTATCGGGACTGTCCTTGCAGTAGAGAAGTCAGGCATCTCAGCTGGTGTGGAAGCCATCTTTGACGTTCATCAATAGAGGACGTGGTATGGCTCGCTATCTCAGCTCTGGGCTTGCAGCTTGGTTCTTCTAGGTTTCTTAACATCGCCAGTATGGCAGATGCGGGGTTGCTTCACTTCAACTCCAGACTGTTGGTCACTTCGACTCGAGGTACTGATCCGTCTGGCAGCCTTGCATAAAAGTACACGCCACGGCGGCTACAAGGCTGAAGAGGGTGTCCAAGAGTGGAATATATCCCTCAGGGGCGAATCATTCGCTTGAACAGTCTCGGTCATGTAGGTTGAATGAGTAGAAAATTTGTTTTTCGGGATCATGTTTCGTTTCTTTGTCGAGTTCATGCAAGAATCCGGGCAGCTTTCAAGTTCAACTTTGTGGTCGCAGTAGAATTAGGGATTGCTAGTAGAGGCACTCATTACGACAGCAGGCCCAAGGAGTCATCTTGGTATACGAGCGGGTGCTGAATCTCTACACGTAATGAATGTGAACGGAGGTGAGAGCTCCGGCGCACCATCGACCTATCCTGATGTTCTTGGATGGAATTGAGTAAGAGCATACGGGGCCGGACCCGAAACATGGTGAAGTATGCCTGTATTCGAAGCAGTGTAGTTTGAGGGTCAAATCACTGCAGCCAACTACGACTTGAGCGATTCCAAATGGACCTGCACGACTCGAATTAGAAAACCAAGTGGCATTCATGCCTTAGAAAGAAGGTTACGGCACACTTATACTACGAATCCGTTTCCGGGCGACGTTTATGTGTAGGGGAAGAAGGCAATACACAGCTGGCTGCGAGATACACTGTACCAGCCACAGTGCGCCACACACTAGTCCGTGCGGAAAGAGATTCTAAACTAATAAAACCGGACGCTTATTTCGGGTTTCGCTATAAGGTGGCCATGCTGTTAGTCGTGGTACCTGGTCTGGCATCCTACGAGAAATGTCTCTAGAGCACGAAACCCTGTCAACTTCGCCCAACATTTCATTCGGTCAATCGTCCTTGTCCGTGGGCTTGGCTTGGCTTTCTCGTCGTAGCATCAAGCATCCATGGCAATTTGTCAATCAGAAGCAAGCATGGCTCTCCCCCCCTCACTTTAACAAAATAAAAGCAGCAAATCGCCGCTCACGCCCACCCTCCACGAAAGAATCCTTCCAGCTGCCCAGCTTTCCACCAAAAAGTGCGCCACTATGCAACCCAAACGCAGCAAGCAAACGGTGCCTGAATCTTGTCCCCTAGCTGCTTTTCTTCCTTCTGCCACCCCCCTAGTCAGTTCTACCTCTCAACCCTTCCCGATAGCGGGTTTCACTTCACCCTGCCTCTTTTTTTTTTTTCGCGGTTAAAATGGCTGCATACGCGGGAAATATTGGATGGCTTGACGGGCTCCTTAGCTCAGTTTTTGGAGGAACTAGGTCTGTGATGGGCCAGTGAGCTAAAAAGCTCCCCAGCTTGGTTCGAACGGTGGTTTAGGCCCCCCCTTGTTTGCGTTGGGGGTGACATCGCGCATCGTGAGTGGAAGACCGGGTCGAGTCAAGTATGGGGGAAGAGAGAGATGTATTTCGTCCTTGGGGGGGGGGGGACCCTTCCTTTGAGATTGGCCGGCTTTCTGTGTGATGTATACCGTGTGATCCCGTAACAAGTTTTCCCCGTCTCAAGCAAAAACCTCTCTTTTTTCTTCTCCTTTTGTCCCCCATTGCAGAGCGAGTTCTCTCTCTCTCTCCGATCTTGTACTCGTAAACCAGACCCGCGTTTCCGAGAATGAAGGCCCTCGTCCACATCCTCGTCTTCTTCTTCGCGGCCCTCGCGGCTTGCACGTCGTCCACCACCGGCAACATCACGGCTCTCCTCGACAGCCTCCCCAAGTGCTCCATCAACTGCATCGTCGACGGCGTTGCCCAAGACGGCTGCACGCTGACAGATCTCTCCTGCGGATGCTCCAAGATCAATGAGCTCACGAAAATCGTGTCGCCGTGCCTCGCCAAGGCAAACTGCTCGCTCGAAGACATGACTCGTATGATGCTCCCCCTTCCCCTTTGGTCAACTCTCTGTAATATCATTGCATCGTGTTTTTTTTTCTTTTTTGCCCTAACACTTGATTTGTTATAAACAAAAACAGAAGCAGCGTCGACCGTCGTCCAGTTCTGCGAATCTGCCGGGTTTCTCGTCAACAACACGTCGAATGATCCGGCTTCCACCACAGGCGCAGCGCCGGCAGCAACCACCACGTCAGGCGCCGGCCGATTTTCGGACGAAATCGGGTTGGCGTACGCTGCCATTGGCGTCTTGTTGACGATGATGGTCTTGTAAAACGGGAAGTTGCTGTAATTGTATCTCAGTGGGTTAGGAACGGAAATGGGGGGAAAAGGCAAATCGAAACGCTGGCAAGTTCAAAATAACGCTCTTCAGGTAGAGCCATTGCATTTGCTCAGCACATGTTTGTATTGTACAACAATTGGCGGCTGTTTTCATGACAAGACTTGGCGTGTAAAGGAAAACAGCTAAGCAGGAAACATATCTTATCATTCCAGGTTCTCTAGTAACAGCTGAAGAGCAGTTCTAGTCTAGTGTATCGTGTCATTATATCATCAAAGCATCTTTTCCCTCAAAGTTTTCCCCAAACGCACTTGGGCTGTATCAAGGTCTAAACATTAAAAGAAGAAAGGGGGGGGACCAAAAAGGAATTTGGAGGCGTCGCGGGTGTAGTTTGATTTCGTCGTCGAAAGGGGCTGTTAGCCAGGTCCGAATCTGGCCAGGGCACCATAGTTGCCGCCATCAAAGGTACCGTGAAGTCCGTCCAGGGCGTGGAACTGCGAGGCCAGTTTCATGCCTTCGCGGCGCTGAGCCTCGACACGGCGCCAGTCCCAATCGCCATCATCTGTCAGGTTGACATCGCTGAGGTCTGCCGATTCGTCGCCCAGAAAGTTCTCGCCACTCTGCCATCCACCAGGCCGAGGAGGCAGCAAGCGGGCACCTGAAAGCACGATGGCGGGGTGAACGGTGAAGCGGCCGACCTTGAAGACGTACTTGCTCATGGCGGTGGCATGAATCTTCTTCTCCCAGCCGCTGGTGGCATCCTTGTGGTCTCTGGTCCGGACGCGCCGGAAGTTGGGGTCCAGCCACTCGGTAGGTCTGGCGACGCCCTTGGGCATGAAGTAGCTGATGATGTAGAGCCACTTGCGGTCCCAGCAAGCCACGCGGCTCCAGATCTCGTAGGACTGATATGGTGAAATCTCGCGCTTGAAGCTGCACATGACGGAGCCCAGGGCAATGGCAAAGTTGCCCTTGACAGGCTGGCCAGTGCGCGGGTCAAGGACGAGCCTCGTCTTGAGGTTGTTGGACATGCTGCGGATGGGGTCCCGCAGCAGGTAGGCGCAGAGGTGTGTTCGTGAAACGTCGAGGTCGGCGAAGTAGGTGGAGTTTGACTTGTGGAGGTTGTAGTCGATCTCGAGCAGAGCCGCCTTGGTGTCGGAGATCATGGGCTTGAAGAGGGCACGGGGCCCGAGCTTTTGCGATTTGCGGAAGACCATGTGGTAGAGCATGGCATAGAAGATGCGATACTATCGATGGAGCTCGGCGGTCAGTCAGGATCCAGCCTCGGGGTTGAGAAGAGAGTCACGTACAGTCCACGCCAGCGGAAGCGTCTTCCAGTTGAAGACGATGAACAGCAGCAGCAGCACCCGCGATGTTCGGCCCGGGCCCGTCAGAAACGACTGCACCAGGGCAGGCCAGTTGATGCGCCAGGCAGCGTAGCCCATCGATCCCACGGCGACGGAGATGATGGGGATGGTCAAGGCGAACCCGCCGATCCTGGAGGACGACATGGCTCGCTCGTGCTGGCGGCCACGCATGTCCCCTTTGCGCGAGTCGGGATTTGGTGCAGCCTTCGAATTGTGTTGAGGCGCGCGCATCAGATCAGGTTCGCGATCGATGACACTCTTGTGCCGAAAGGCGGTGCGGGACACTGAGGTGGTCACTGGGGGGGTCGGGCAGCAGCAACAGCAACAGCAGTGACGCTCTAACAGCGACGCTTCTAGCAGTGCATCCAGCGGGCTCAAGTATTTCGAAAATCGCCCAAGCGCGCAACCGTGAAAAAAACAAATATCGGGGTGAAATCCAGTGTTCGCGCGTGGCTGGAATGCGACAAAGAGGCGCATGCACAAACGGGAGAGCTTGCGATCTGTATAACGGTGCAAGGTGGGCGAAAATCCAGGAACCGAGCCTTTTTTTTGAATGCAGGGGTTTGGCGCGGGCTTTTCGCTCGGCTCGGGGTCCGTTAGTGTAGTTTTTTTTTTTTTTTCCCGGTCAGCAGCAAGCAAACGAGCCGAGGTTCGCGTGAGGAGGGAGGGATGAGATTTTGAGGCTGATAAGACGAAAAAGCATATGTATATCGATGTGTGATGACGTGGATTTAACTGCGAGGAGATGGAGATGAGAAGAATTGGAAAAGATACAGGGAAAAGGAGAAAAGAAGAAGAAGAAATTATTAGAGAATAAAAAGGGTCTTTTTTGCTATTCGAGAAACCCCCAAGACAATCCATGGCATGGCAGTGGCCTGTGCCTGCATGTTCCCTCATGCTCAGGAACCCGCACGCGCCTGTGAAACTGCATCATGCAAAACCCCGTGCCAGTAGCCGATCGCAACTGCGTCAGCAAAGAGGGGCTTGAAGCCTCATGTTGGTAACTTGCATGAGACAAGATGGACATGAATCGACATGGCTGGCTGGGCGTTGATTACTGTGGCAGCACCTCTTTGGGCACGCATCGCCCAACAACCACCAGCAGGCGCCTGGCATTAACCTCTCCTTTGTTTCGCATCACGGCCCCCTTTTCTCCTCTCAGGGTAATTGGTCGAGCGGGCATTTAAAGCCTAGGTTACTCTATATCGAAACCCTTTCTATCATTCCCGACTCCCTTCGCATAAAGGGCTGCCAGCGAAGCCCTCCTTTCCACGGCCGGGCGAGTAAGCGGCCGCCATGTGTATCCACTACGGCACGTCTACAGTACAGGAGAGCTTCAAAGGTTCACCATGTTGGCGGCAGTTGATGCGCGATAAGCAATCCATCGGACTCATGTCGGTGGACACCAATTGATTGCCAACATAATCGAGTCTAAAGAGAACTTGTCGATGCTATTGCAGGGCTGTTTGTATCGACACAGCCAAGGCCACCCAAAATAATCCATCCCCGTTGCACCAACTCGGATCAAGTACCACTCCATGAAACAAAACAGGCGCATGAAAATAGCACGTGGAAAAAGCAGGTACCCCATCATAATCTCGGCATGAGATAAACGACCAGCCATCTTGGTCTTGTCCGGCATGTCCAGAGGAGCGTCGCCAAGCCACTTAGTTCCGGTCATGTCGGGCCCGCAGTTTCGGATCCGGACTTGCTTCGCGGCGCCTGCTCCGTCCCTTAGGTACTTGAACACAGCACCCCAATCTGGCTCACTTCATACACCGAGAGGCATTCGAACGTAAGAGAAATTCTAAATTCGTGATTTACACGCCGCTGGAGGATTCACTTAATGGTTTAGCCAAAGCTCACTAGAGCCTTTGCGCAGCCCCTAACCTATAAACGAGAACGAGCATGTGGATCAACAGCGTCGACCGTCAAACGGTAACCCATTTATTACCCCAGCACGCCGGTTCAAAATAATTATAGCAAATGAAGATGGGAACTATATTTATCATCAACACCGCTTAAAGTAGTCGTAAAGTTCTCCCGCTGGGGAAAAAGTATCCATTGCCAAAGGGGTCATGTCATCTGAGCAGAAGCCGTCCTTGTGCTTTCGGTATAGGTACCTAGGTATATAAAGGATGTGGTAGACTGCACTTGGTAAGTTGTTCTGTACGCCATAGCTTGACAACATGTCTCATGTCTTATTACACACATCAACTCTTCACTCACATTTGGAAAGATCCAATAGCCACGAGGGCATCTCAGATGACCCCCTCATTGCATTTTCAAAGGACATTGGGTTTGAGCGGGCTTCTGAAGCCAGCTTCACCTGGGACTTCAAAGTCTCCCCCTTGACTCTCATGGAATACATCGCTCAGGTTGTCTGCTGGCAACGGCTCTGCATGCTTGAAGACGCTGGATATAGCTTCAGTAGCTCTGACTACTGGCAGAAGCATATCCTCTGCTGGGACGTCCAGGCTGAAAACTGGGGTGGTGAAATGGCTGTGGGTTTTGATGGGGCAGGTCAGAAGATGTATGACTTGCTGTCTCTGAAGCGTGATATTGATCTAGAATCTGAAGCGTATAAACAGGCATCTGAACTGGTGTGGAGACTCTTGGCCAAATCCAGCATGCAGAAGATTACCCATGGCAAGAACTTGACACATTCTGTACATCTTGGGCATCTGTGGGATGAGAATCCGGGCAAGGACTGCGAAGAAGGGACGTTTGGAGAGCTGCTGAGGTATGGGACTGTGAGGCGCAGGAAGACAAGGGAGACTATTGTGCGCAAGGAGGCAACTAAAGCGAAGGTGTTACTTAAGTAGGGTGTTCTTGAGCCGTGAAAGGCGGGAAACAAGAAGTTTAGGGAAATGAGTACGGTGACATAAATGTAGACAAGATGTGAATGAAAAGAATCTTGGATAAACTGTGGTGAAATTTTGAATACCATCTAATCAGTTCTGACTATATTTCTGATCTGGATTGGTCCACCAAAAATAGCAACACCTTTTGTTACTCTTTGAGAGATCTCAGGTAACCTCAAAGTTGGCTTTCATGTTTGTTTGGAGACTCTATGACTTCACTTTTGATGGTTCTCTAAAGTTGATGCGATATTAATGCGAAATTTAAGCAGGCAATACGTGCCATTGCGGCTCGTTTGTAGAAGATCTTTTAACAATCTGGTTTTATAGATGTTTAGTTGAGGGATTCGAGTGACCAATTAGCTTTACAGATGCCATCAAGATCTATTACCATGTTTTGCTTGACTACATGGGGTCTTGAGTCCCTTTTCGATTGCCTTTCACATCGGTGTTAGAGAGCTGAAGTGATGAGAACAAATCACAGCTACTTTATACAAGAGACAACAACGGAACATTCCACGAGTGGCAGGAAGAATTCTAGAGGCTCTGCGAGAAAGTGAGCATCAAATCTAGCTGCACACGTAAGTCTAGCGCTCGATTCGGCTTGTCAGCTCCACTCATATCCACTGAAGCCCTGGAAAATACAACCAGACGCGCGTCCCGTAAGGCAGTCCCGTAAGGCAGTTGATCCAATAAGTATCAAGATAAACGAGTCTTTCAACATGGCCAAAGACCCCCCACGATATTCTGGTTGATTACTCAACAGTCTGGGTTAAACAATGCTTTGCACTGCCTGAAAGTGGCATTCGAAAATACGAGCAACTGTCAAGAAGCTAGTAAGCTGAGATGGAGCTGGTTGGTTGTGACAACAATACGAGAAATCTTTGAGACTCTCTTTAAAAGAGTTGAAAACAATCAGAGTTTGTTGTTTGCCCGTGTGTATAAGTGGTGATTTTGTATCGAATAGCGGCAACTTTTTAAGCTTCATCTACCTCTTCGCTTGAACGCCAAGTCTCATATTGACATACAGCAAATAAGCATATCATCACGCTTTGGCTGTATGCCGCCTAACCGTAAAGTTATTACGTACGCGTATCCGGGGTTAAAGTTGACAAATTAACTCCAAAATCTGTATGCAACATGACATGAAGGACCTATTTTTAAAAACAATTATACGGGTACCTTTGCCGGGAAGGATACGTGGACTTGGACATGACAGGGACTCCTGGCTGCCATTGGGTCCACTTTGAAGAGTTTCGACTCGTTGACCCAGATGAAGTATTTATCTCTGAATAAGGGTTGCTTATGGCCGGGCTCTTCCATATTTGTCTTTGGCTTTTGGATCTTTGTTTTCTGTCTTCTTTGTGTCACTCGTTCATCTCAGCCATCAAACGGGGGGGACAAGACCATCCCGCCGACATGGCATTCCTCTCCAAATCCCTTTCGATAAGTGTTCAACCACGGGGACTGAGGGTTAAACCACGATCTTTACTCTTATCCGCTATCATACTCTTCGCTTGTATATGGACGCTGTTGGCACTCAGGCCTACTCCAGCTCGAGAGCGAGTTGTGGACGCGATTCAACTCCGTGTCAAATACCCCTTGACGTATAGACATGTTCACAGCTTTGAAAAGGGCAAAGGAGGAGGTAATGCAGACTTTAATGTCAGCATCTAAAGCTCTTTCAAACGCTTAGATGTAAATCTCATGTATTGGCAAGCAGACTAAATTAACAAACTGTTGTTAGCATGGTATATCCCCCCAGAATGGATTGACGCAAACCAATCACCGCCAAAGACGATCATTGAAGCGGCTCAGTTGGCTTCCAAAGTCGCCAAATCGAATCCCGAGCGAAACGTTCCATTCTCGAATATCCCCCTTTTGGTCCATCAAAAATGGGATACTACTAGACTAAACGGCACAAAGGAGATGATTGTTTCCTACATCGAAGATTGGCTGGTGGCTTCCATCTCACCCCCTTCTGGAATGCGCCGGATGGCGTATTTTCTTTGGGACAACGAAGGCGTTTTGTCATTGATTAAGGAGTATGAGAAGGATTTGACGACTGATTTTATCGAAGTATTTTCCCCGGTGGAGAAGGTTGATATTTTCCGGATAATAGCTTGCAAATGGTTTGGTGGCATTGTAAGTCCTTGATTCCGGCAACATCGTGGTATTTACTTGTTAGAATACTAATTGGTGGGATTAGTACGGTGATGTTGATACAAAACCTCTTCAACATCCATCTACATGGATTGACACAGCCGATGTCTCCGAATGGGCTGATGAGACGACTGGGAAAAGATATGGTTTGGACAACACCGTATTAACACGTCTGAGCCAAAGCCACGAACAGTCGCAGCCAGTTAATGCAATCTGGGGGATCGAATGCGATGCGGATCCGAATACGGATGACCACTGGCGCTGGGCGTACACTTATCCCGTTCAGCTCACAAACTGGGCATTTGCGTCCGCTCCGAAGCAGCCTATCCTCCAGTATTTCCTGGACCGTATAGTTGAGAAAGCGCAAGAAGCCAGGGATAGAGCCCGGAATACGCCGGGTGTCGACAGTGTCTCTGACTTGCATTACGACCCAGTCGTACGAACCGGACCGGTGGCTGTTACGGAGGCTACCAGTTGGTGGTTGGAAGAGAAGGATGGTTTGAGATGGAATGCTCTAACTGGACGAGAAGATGGTGGAAAGACAAAACTAGTCGGTGATGTGATCATTCTTCCTATAACCGGATTCAGGTATGGTTTTACTTCAAACTTTTGATATACAGGTTGGGTTATATGCTAACATGCTTCTACTTTAGTCCGACACAAGAGAAATACAGCAGAATGGGTGAAAAACCTTGGGACGACCCCGAAGCTAGACTTGCCCATACAGCCATGGGCTCATGGCATCACACGAATCTCATAGTAGAATATGGCAAATTCTGCCGCACTTGGTTTGGCTTGTGTAAGGATTGGCAAAAGATGTGGTAATGGGATCGTGCGCAATGGGATGGTCTCTCTATGAAATACGACGGTCTATTAGCGAATGTTTTTTTTTTTTTTTTCATAAAGCGTACTCTATGATAATACTAATAAATTTGCAAACATCTGCTGGGTAGCATACCTACTTCAACCATACTGATTGCTCATTTTCACTACTCAATATTAAGAGACCTGCTTGGCATTAAAACCGGCTCCATTTCAAGGAGCAGTTTCATATTACCTGAGGTAGCTAACACTTGTTATGCTGCCGTATTCGCAGTCGAAGTAGAAGAAGAGAATTGGAAAGTTTTCAAAGCGAAGTAGTACTCAACAGCCTCTACCACTACAGTTCTGCCGATTGTCAAAATATCATCTCAAAAAAAGTAGCCAAATTTACGCAATCAGTAGTTTCTGGAGCCGATTATAGACAGTTGTATTTTTAGTTTTGCAGTATATATGCAAGGCAATCTCTTTCCTTTTGCCACGCTTCTTTTGGGAATGACTTGGGACAAGTTACAAACCGGACACGCCTAAACTGCCTCGACGCTTTCGTCTCTCATAACTAGCATAGTGATACACTCGAATAATCTGTTAGTCTTCCATCGCCCCCTACAAGTTGTCCCTCGGTACATACTTGTGGTGCCTTTCCTGGGGCCGCCTGCAGATTGGCGCACCCCTCTTCTCTGGTTCGAAAGGGAGGCGTTCCCCGACTTTGGGATGGCGAATATTGGGACTTTGCCGAAGGGGCTCTAATACTTGGATACTGACTTGATCATTAGATGGGGATTCCCTGATACTCATCGTATCCGAGCGCGAGGTTCATGTTCTCTGTTTATAGTTGTTAGCCAAACCAGATCTGCATTTGTTCCTTGTTGTTCTTCAAAAAAACTTACGCAAGCATTGGGTCGCAGCGCCCTTGTTGAGGTTGTCAATCGTGGCGCAAACCACGACACGCTTGCCGGTCTTGTCGACAGCGAACCCGCCAATCTCGACATGGTGCTTGTTCTGGATCGACTTGACAAGCGGAGGCTCGCCAACAATCTTTACGAGCTTTTCACCGGCATATCGGTCTTGGTAGATCTGAAGGATATCTCGAGAAGTCATCGTCTTGTTCAAGGGGATGTTAATGGTCAGGTGAATGCCGCTGAACCAGGAGGCGCTATATTATTGTCAGTCTCTAGACACGAAGAGGAAAAGGGGATAAACTGACACATGCGGCATAAATGCTACCGGCACACCACCAAGTTGATGACTGATTTCTCGCTCGTGGATATGTCCAGTCAAGCTGTCTGTTGAAAGTTAGCTTTCTCCTGGTTTGTGGCCGAGTTCTATCACTTACAAGGAATCAGGTTATCACGGAGAAGGTTGACATCGTTCTTGGGCGAGGGCTTTGTGCCTGCACCACTGTAGCCCGACGCTCCAAAAACGTTGACAGGTCCTCCCACATGCTCCAAAAGAGGCGCGAGGGCCAATTGCGAGCCGGTAGCGTAACAGCCAGGGTTGCTGATTCTCGTCGCTTGTGCAATCGTGCCTCGCTTCTGCAATTCAGGCAATCCGTAGCTCCACGAGTCATCGAATCGGTAGTCGGCGGAAAGATCAACGATCAAGCTGGAACTCTGGTCGAGAGCCTGTACAAAAGGCTGGCAGACGCCATTGGGAAGAGCCATGACCCAGCAATCGACTTTGCCATCCTTATCCAGCTGAGCGACGTCCTCGGCCGACAGGTTCTCATATACGATGTTGCGCTTGGTATATCCTTTGAGCTCCTGGCCGGCGAGTTCTCGCGAAGACACATGTCGAAGGTCGATGAGGGGGTGGTCGTTGAAGAGGTCGATCAGGGCTTGGCCAGTGTAGCCGCGGGCTCCAATGAGGCCAATGCGGGACGGCGTCTCGTTGGAGGCGTTCTTCTTGCCCAGGGGCGGGTTTGGGTTTGTGGTGGCAGCGTATGACAGACGCGCCGTGGAAGACAGAGATCGAGCGATGCTGGTGTTTCGACCGAGGGAGATTTTGGGCATCGGCGCGACGGTGATGGAGGCCGCTCGGGGGGCAGCGCGACGGGCGCCGATGCGCACCGCCCTGGAAGTAGCAGCGAGCATGATTGCAGTGAACAGCGAGCGCAATGCAATTGATCGCTAGAGTGGGAGAGCAGGTTGGATGAGAGGTGGTGAAGGATGTTGTTTGTTAACCGTCGATAGAAGATTGAATGGAACTGCATGTGGGGTGGATCTGATAATTTTGAGTTGTGTCTGGCTAGCGGCGGCCGAGATCGGGCTGGTAGTGACGCATCTCTAATTGAGTTTCTGCCCTGGTTGATTCATGGATGCTAAGAACGGAATGCTTCCATGATCCAAACTAAGTGCAATATATTTGCAAATACTTGATGAGCCGAAATGCCAAGTTATGGGGGGTTTCCAGATCAAGTATTTACATGTAACCCGCATCTTCTCATCGTTCAATTACCCCCGCAACGACCAGACAACAGGGGTGCTTGTGTCGATAGTATATGGAAGGAATAAAGACGAACTATCCTGCTGGAGACATAAGTAAACGCGCTCAAGCCAATAAGCATAATGAATAGTTCGGAGAGAGTTCAAATAATTAGCATCTTTATGCAGATAGATCCAGTTCGATACGCTTACAATGGTAGGCGTCTCTCTTGTCTCTCTGAGTACATGGCTGTACGTGCGTGATGTTCCACTAAGCTGAGACGCATATAAGCGCTACCACAATCAACCAATCTGTTTCTCATTACACGTTCATAGGCTGTTTCTTTTCACTCTTGCATCGAATTTCTTCGTTTGCAATGGAAGCTTCACGAAATGCCTCGACGAAACATTATTGTAACTGGTGCTACAGGACGACAGGGACGAGCGTTTATACACGCGCTTCTCAGCTCACCGACTGCCACTGACCCAAATGATACAACATACCATGTTTGGGCCGTGACGCGAAATACTACCTCGCCTTCCACGGCATTGCTCCTAGACGCTGAAAAGGCACATGTGAATGACATCACCGCAATTCAAGGCGATCTCAACAATGGCGCAAGAATGAAAGAAATCTTTTCGGAAATAGCTGCCCAGGGCGGCATCTTTGGCGCCTTTATTGTCCTCGCTTATCCGGGCCTTGGAAACAAGAGCGACGAAGAGGAGAGACAAGGCAAGGTAACTCATACCTGCCCCCAAACAGGAACAAGCCGAGGAACATAACCAAACATAAACCGTCGGGGAAATAGATGCTTGCGGGTCTGGCACTCGAGTTTAAACTCGACGCGTTCGTTTATTCGAGCACGATCCCGCCTGGTCCAGATCTAGATGACGCCTTTGATGCGTCTCACCGATCTAAGCGGGAAATCGAGCTTTACTCTAAGAGCCTTGGTGAAAGAGGCTTGAATTGGACGCAAGTACAGAAAAGGACGTAATGGCAATATTACTGCTAATGGGGTACTGCAGGATCGTGCGACCTGGCTTTTTTATGGAAAACTTTGATGGATTTATGGGATCGCTCGCCGTTGCCATTCTTTCCCAAGGACTCAGGAAGGAAACGGATATAGCACTCGTTGTATGTAATGTTCTGCACGGTTCATGCTATGCATTTCATTGACTAATTTCGATTCAGGCATCCCAAGATATTGGCAAAGTTGCTGCTGGAATCTTCCAGGTAGATCCATCCTCACAATAGGAAGCTCATCAGCAAGCGCCCTGCTAACAGAATTGTCACTAGAATCATGGCAGATTCACTCACAAGACGGTTTCTATAACTGGTGGATGTCTATCTATGAACGAAATTCAATCAGCCTATAAAGACGTGTTAGGAAAACAGATGCCTTCTGTTCCCGCCATATTTGCTTGGTTAATTCTCAAGCTGAGCTCCGGTGCTCAGCATGTGTGAGCTTGCCTCCTTGCCAAACTCAACCACCTTATTCGATGTGCTAACCCTTGGTCAGTGCTAAAGAAATTGAGAGAAATTATGATGTGAGAGTTGGCGGAGGATATCCAACTTTTGACGAAGAGGTTGAATTGGCAAAATCGCTCTCTGAGCTGCAGAATTATCGCTCATTTCTCCTCAAACGGAAAGAGTCGAGCCCTTGATTGATGGAAATACGGATTATAGCAAAGTCTGATGCATTGAATTCGATATAACCCTCCAAACATGCTACACAGTAGGATTATGAAGATGTAACTGGAATCAGCTCAAGAGTAATGAGCGTTCCCTCAACGAGAGTTCCTTTGATAGCGCCAGCTTCTCCCTTAGTGTACAAAGACAGCTTAATGAAAATGTCAGGCACCACTCCATTAGCCTCAGCCATCTCCTCCTCAGTAAAAGCCCCTTCAACTCCGTGATAGAGGTAGAAGTGCCTCTTTCCAAACTCGCTGTGGGCAGGCGCTGCGCCCTCCCATTTATATCGCACGACGTTATCCGACACAGTCTCTTCAGCACCAGGCTTGTCGAAAATAGCACTGTAGAGAGGAACTACGTTATCCAACGTCTGCTTGTCCTTGATGAACAGAGAGATTGCAGCAACACCAACAACGCCTGAAGGATGAGACGTATTTTCTGGCGTAGTGGGTGCTCGAAGAGACCTCGGAGTCCGATCAAATGTCCAGAATGGCTGTTGATTGATCAAGATTTGACCTTTGTAGTCGTCAAAGTTGGGTATAGCGTTGGCCCAGATGCGTTTCGATCCGTCTGCCATTGTCCTGGACCCAGGCTCTGGGTCACGGTACTTGATTCCGACTTTGGAATCTTTAATTCTTGCTTGGACAATACGGAACCGTTCTTCCGATGTATTCGTGCCTTCTTCTTCCTCACGGCTCAGGATGGTATGAGCCCAGTGGATGATGTGTCCGTCCGGCTGCTTGCCCCACGGGTGCATTGCTCTATGCCGCGGATTCAAGCCGTCAACAAAGGCAATGAGCTCCAAGTATAGACCGTCTTGGAAGATGATGAGCTTGTTCTCGGTCATGCCGCCCTCGTGCACACCACCGTCGAGGATCGTAAAGGCTTCTGACAGCCATTGAGGAATTGACGTAAGCTGGGCATGTGGAATAAGAAGAATAACATGGTCAAAGGCTGACTCTGGGGTAGATTGAGAAGGCATGACTGCAGATATCTGCTCTGTTTATATCTCGGTACCAACTGTTTGCTATTCTCTCGACTGCGTGTAAGTCAAGTCCACTCTCCACAGGGCTTTTAAGCATGCCCCAAACGGACATTATCACCGCCCATAAACTCCACCGGTTTTTATGGCGAGGTCGCTAAAACTCCGACAGAATCAACCCGAACCAAAGCCTCAATCTAACCCAGCTAGTCCCGTCAGCTATTTCGTGTATTCTTCCTAATTCGGCATACGGCGGTATTCCGAAATTCTTCGAATATTCATCCGATACTCCGTCTCTGAAGTAGAAAAAATCAGCTTCTGATTATAAATTTCTTCCATAAGTGGGTTATGTGGAGGCAGAAAGTATATGTAAGTTGACCCTACAAGTGACGGTTTAGTGTTTGTTTTAATGTGTTGCCAAGTTGATCGAGTGGTTGATCGCCGTAGTATGGGATGTTGCATCTGTATCCGCTAGTGCTCAGAAACCCTCAATATTACTGTATTCACTACAAACGGCCAGCATGAACGATGCTTCAAGTCACCATTCAGCTGTTGAATTAATATCAAATGCTAACATACCACTTTCCGTTGATACAATGAAGATACTTGTGTATTTATGAGACAGTGAATGAAATAGGAACGAGCTGCGACTCCTTGATCGAGATAGTGTCATGTCACTGTGACGTCCTAAAATGGCCCGTAAATCACCACGCCTCAGTGTTATAGTCCCGATTCGGCTTTACACGATTCACCCCAAACGTAATTCCGGCTGAGAAATATTCCTCTCGGAATCGCAGCAACTATCATATTTATTTTGTCGCTTGTCTTGCGTTTGTACAGTATATAAGGGGCATCTTTCTCCCAAGTGAAGGGCTCTTTAAACCAGCACAGTGAAGCTCCATCCTGCGAATCGCCACACAAGTGTCCACCATGTCAGCTCCATCAATCCTCCTCCGCAATGCCACCATCTTGGTGCCAGGCACAACAGAAAGCAAAGCTGTTGCAGCTCTTCGAAATCACTCACTGCTCGTCGAAGGAAACAAGATTGTTCGCATTGAGACTCATATTGATGCCCCGTCTGATAAGACGCAAGTAATCGACTGCACTGGCAAGATCGTGTCTCCTGGATTCATTGATACGCATCACCATGTGTGGCAGACGCAGCTCAAGGGGCGACATGCGGACCATACCTTGCTTGAGTACGTACCTACTGGTATGTTTCGAGCTTCTTCATGTAATGTTGGACCGTTTCGACGTAGTGACTGACATGTTCATTAGGCAATATGCAATCATCCAACTACACTCCTGAAGACATCTTTTGGGGAGAGCTGGGAGGCTGTCTCGAAGCATTGAACGCGGGTACGACCACAGTTGTGGATCACGCACACATGAACTACTCACCAGCTCACAGTAAGTTGTCAAACTATCTCGTGCAAAAGTCACCAGCTGACTCTCCCAGACACAAATGCCATCGCCGCAGCTGCCTCCTCAGGAATTCGCTCCACCTTCTGCTACGCACCCACCACAAGAGTAAAAGAATGGGAGCCCGAAATCACCGTGGACACGGATTTTCTACCAAGCTGGGCGGTCGAACAGGTCGAGGAGCTCATCAAGGCTGGCCCGTACGGCGATGGGCGAGTTAGCGTTGGGCTGGCATTTGACGCCTTGTTCCTCCCGAAGGAGACTGTCACGGATCTGTATCAGCGGTGTCGACAAGCCGGAGCCAAGGTCATTACTTCTCACTACTGTCGCGGTGCAATTTTCGGTGAGTTCTTCCAACTTTATGATTCAATCATTTGAATGATCCTGGGAGAAGCTAACTAGATGGAAAGGCCAACATTCGATTGTGGATATGCTCGAGGGTCATGGAGTTCTTGGTCCAGACATTCTTCTCTCTCATGCAACCAACCTCACAGACGCTGACGCCAAGAAGCTTACTGAAGTCAAGGCCAGCATCTCATCAACGCCAGATACTGAGATCCAGATGGGTCTAGGATATCCAGTCTGCTTCCGCGACGACACCAAGTCCATCAGCTCCCTCGGCGTCGACTGCCACAGCAACAACGGATCCAGTCTGATTAACCAAATGCGACTCGGTCTGCAAGCAGAGCGCGGACTCCGCAACTCCGCTCTCATCGAGGCCGGAAAAGCCCCCAAACACCTCGCCTTGTCTGTCCAAGAAGTCTTCCGCCTGGGAACCATCGGTGGCGCCAGAGCTATCGGCATGGAAGATCAGCTCGGGTCCCTTGAACAAGGCAAGCTCGCCGACATTGTCGTTTTCGACAGCCTCACTCCTGGGATGATTTGCGCTTCCGAGGAAGCTCCCGTGGCTGCAGTTGTGTTGCACTCTTCCATTGCAGATATCGAGACGGTCATTGTGAACGGAAGGATTGTGAAGCAGCGTGGAAGCCTTGTCCCTGTTGATCTTGATCTTTCACTGTCAGATTTGAAGCCTGCCAAGACGCGATTGGAGTGGCCTGATATCGCGCAAGAGCTGCTGAAGAGTCGCCGGCGGGTGATTGAGGCGGGCAAAAAGTCTTGGGGAGGCGATATGGAGAAGGCGTTGGATGGAGTGACCAAGTCGTTTTACATTGATCCCAATAACTTGGCCTGAATTTGTTGAAATTTGGCAAGATTGGACTGGCTATATGATGTAAAATACCAATTGTACCCACACGTCATCTAGCAATCGTCACTCATGAATGTTCATTGATAAAAGCCTTGTGAAATTTGGGTTCCATCCTATGATTCATTACGCTTACAGCCCATCTCACCCATCTTTCCAATAACGCCCATAATGTCAGCATCCAAGAGGGGAGATACCAAAACGCCTTTGCTGGATATCATCTCCCATTCAGCTTGATCGAACAACGTGCGTTCCATCTGCAGGTTCCAAGACCAGCCACTGGCAGGCCAGATTCTTGTTTTCGTTGTGCCTTCTCAGAGTAGCGATGATCTGATTGGCAATGTCCTCAAAGTTGGAAATAGCAAGGGCCAATATGGTGGGGCCGGCACCGGAGAGGCACACGCCGAGGAATCCCGGATGGGTCTTTGGAGACATGGATTCAACAATCTCGCAGAGGCCTGGGATGAGCGTTTGGCGGTAGGGTTGGTGAACCTTGTCTTGCATGGCAAGGTTGATGAGCTCTGGGTCGGGTGGCGATTGGCCGAGAGCAACGGGAAGCAGGGCTATTCGCTGCAAGTTGAATACCTAAAGATTCCGCATGATTAGCTTCTAAAAGCGCTGTGAGCATGTTGGATACTTACCACATCGGAACGCTGGTAGTTTGGCGGTAGGACAGCTCGGGCGTCGTGCGTGGGGACAATGAAGTCGGGAATGATGGCGACGGCCTTGATCTCCTTGTTCCAAGGGAACTTGATGTGGTGACCAATTCCGTGTGGGGGCTCTGGAGGTTGCTTGCCGGTGTCGACTCCTCCTGCTGGTGCAGGCAACACTTCACTCAACGGGATCTCAACTCTTGAAGCATCCTCGGGCTTCAATGGCATCAAATAGGTACCCACGAATCCTCCGAAGAGGGCGGCGCCGACATTGTCAGGATGTCTCTCTGCACGGTGGAGATTGCGTTAGCACGGGTTCCATGGTTGGTATCAATGTATAGCGTAAACCATTCAAGAATAGACGCACCAATCATCAAGCAATAGTCAAACAGCCGGTCCTGATCCAAGTGGTGCAGACCACCAACTTCCTTGCCCAGCATCACGCCAGCAACAACAGCTGCCCCGGAACTTCCCAGTCCCCTGCCCAGCGGAATAGGGTTCTTGATATGGACATGGGTCTCGATCGGGAAGCTGCGCTGATCGTGACATCGCAGGACGTAGAGCGCAACCCTGGTGATGAGGTTGCTCTGCGGATCCAGGCTAATATCGCCAGACTCTTCGCCCTGGCCTTCGTACGTCACCCTGCAGTTGAGGGGATGCTCCGACTTTGTCTTTGAGCGATCGATGGTGACGTGCAGCTCGAGATACATGGACAATGCGAGGCCGATGACGTCGAACCCAGGGCCAATGTTGGCGCTGGAGCACGGAGTCTTGATCACGAATGACTCCATGGCGGCGGGCAGAGACGGCTGTCGGCTTATTCGTATTCGCTCGTCTGGATTCGGTTCAGCGGGCGGGATTCCTCAGAGGAAGAGCAGGGACGGAGATGTATTTTGTCTGCGAGTTCCGGCCACACAGATGTTGAATTGGCTGGCTGGCCAGTTTCTGTTGGCTTGTTGAGGAGATGGAAAGGAAAATGTCTGCCCAAGCCAAGCCATGGCGTTGCGGTTTGACCAGGACCGATAACCGGAGCTCATCTATCGATAGCGGGGCTTATCAGACCCTTGAGACCCCTCCATCGCATGTTCATGTTTGAAAGCTTCCAGGTTCCCTTGCAGAAGAAGGATCATGCGATTTTGTGATTGGGGGATGAACATCTTGCTCTGTTCAATTGACACAAACTGTTATCAACTGCAATGGTGAGCCAACCGGTTGCATTGTCGGGAGATCCCATGCTGAACTACAAGAGATTTAACTACAGTTGCTATCCACCATCAGTTAGCATGAAGCTTTCAATCCTGTGCTATTCCCGCGGGATTGACTTACTATCTGCATTTATTTTGGTGAAAACCCACTTGCTTGTCTACTTAGTAGGTAGTTCGAGCAATACAGCTATGAAGACATGAGTATCGAATTCCGAACTAAAGCTTGACTCGATAGGCGGCCATCAAGTTACTGGCTTGGATAACCAATGACATGCGAGCACATTCAGTACCATCCTAACCTTGCCAGGAGATAATAAAGGATGAGTTGTGCCAAGATGCTAACGTATACCTAAACACTAGCTAATCCGCCTTACTCGCCGAATATGGGAAAAGGTAGTGGGCGTAATATGTACAAGTGCGAAGTTGTAAGGAAGTGCTAATCCTCCGCGTCCTAAAAAGTCGTCCTGATTGGGCGACAACATGAGAGTGCTCGGTGTTTCCAAGACCAAATCCTTCCATGATCTCTTGTTTCCAAATCCCGTCCACCGTACAAATTGGTCTAGAACACGATTACAGATGTTTAGTCAAGCATAGTGCTTATAACGTTAGAACCTTTGAAGACTCGGAGTAAGCCCTAGGACGGAACTCCTAGTCGGCAAAGAGCCATATGTTGTTCAACAGTAGGAAAACTATTAAATACTCTTGAGGAATGCCTCTTCCCCGATCGCTGGTCATTTTTTCTCTGCGAAGAAAAAAGAAGAAGTCAAATACATAACTATACTTTCTCGTCACAAACCGCCATCATCCGTCATGGCAACCCTACAGCCCGAAGATGTTTTCGCACCGGTTCTTCATACCAATCGCCTTGCTCTTACACTCTTTAACATGAATGACGAGGACGACCTTGATTTCGTGGTCATGATGTTCAACATGGAGATGAGTGGAGGTGGTCCCACAGACGGTAATTGGACCGGCAAAGACATACGCCGTCTAAGCTACTCCCTCATGCTGAAACCATCCGATACCCATGGCCGCCTCTCGAAAGGTCCTGCCATATATCTCGCGCGCTTGGAAGGTGCCGCAGGACCACGCATCGGTGTCGTTAATCTCTGTCGGCGCACACCAGAAGTTCCGATCGACTTGGGGTACATGGTTTTGCCAGAGCACCGAAAACGCGGTTACGCCACCGAGGGCGCAACCAGGGTCCTTCGCTATATTACGGAAGACTTTGGCATCAAGGAAATCTGCCTTGTAACGGATGATTCGAATATTCCGTCGATAAAGATTGCCGAAAAGCTAAACATGGTGGATGGCGGATATGTCACGATGAACGGCCACAAGTGCCTTGTTTTTGTATTGCCGGGTATGAAGAAGCTAGAGGGACAAGAGTTTACGTTTTGGGGAGATGGTGAGGAGCCCTCCGTGTAAGTCTCTACCGTAGGTGTCGGAGTATCAGTGAATGGAATGGCGCCTAGGTTTGGACAAGGATATAATGAATTAGAATTGGGCGTTATACAAGCCTTGAAGTTGAGCATATTGATGGCGACTTGTGTTTTCTATCTACATGTACATACATGCCATGTACTTAGTCTTACTCTGCTGTTTAAGCGTTTGAAGAGGCACTCCTGTGAATGAGTTGGATCAGCTCTAGAGTTGCTTACTGTTGCTGGGCCTCTGTCCTATTGATTACGATGCAGTTGCCCCATCACAAAATAGACCAAAATTTTTCAGACTCTGTACTCTGTACTCTATCAATCGATTCTTAGTACGGAGTACTCCAGCTATCAATGCTGGGGCGTCGGCGATTCACCGTTCGGGTTCTCGGGTTCTAATCCATGGATGTTTTAATGGGGCATCACCGCCGGCCACCTACAGATGCATTGCAGCACGAGACCGTTTCGTCCATCCGATATCGCGAAAACAGAAGAATCAAAAGAGTCCCATGCAACGAGAATAACAATTCCTCAGCTCTTGTCATTATGATTCCAAAGAGACCATCGTGTTACCCGCGCTACACGTTATGTATTCTCGTCACCACTCTCACAACGCCGGCAGTACGCTTCTTCGCATGCATGGGGGGCTTCTGTCCTACCACCGCAAGATGCGGTAATCGTACAACCAACGTAGATCAGTTATTGTGGACCGATCAGGCTGCTCGGGAATTAAAACCCCGATGCATCAGGCAGAGAGGCTGCGACTAAGAATAACGGCCGGGCAGGTTTACGAAAAGAAAAAGGCCATCTCAACTGTCAAACGCCTTACGTGTGGATACGATACGATTCCCTCGGAGGTTGACATCTGCCAAGCTTCAACTTACAAGACGTCCCTTGGCAAACGATCCCTCCCGTATTAACTCAGCTCCTCCTCCTTCGCCTCCCTAAAAATCCAACAGGCGTACGGAGTACCGTAAAACAACCCCCCCGGTCAAGCTTTTGCCGGGTCCCTCGGGTCGAAATCGTCGGCCGCAGCGGCGTTGCACACAGCTTTGCCTTATTCGAACAGGAATTATGGGCATTGCCCGGGCATTTGACGTTACTCCGCTGCGGACCTTGGAAAGCTACGTACGTTAGCTAGAGGCTGGGACGCTTGCCCGCATTTTCGTCCGTCTTTTTTTGTTTGTTTGTTTTCATGCATCTTTTCTGTTCGTATATGCTGGTACACGCCGTCACGCGGCAGAAAGGTCGCGGGTGCATACATGTGAAGGATTCCGTCTGTAGAGAGAGAGCTCCAGGACGAATCAAACAACATCCATGTAGCCGTCGTTGAGAGAGCAGAAGAGAAAAAAAAAAGAGCAAACAAAACCAAAACATGCCCGCCAGCCCACCGTTGGGCTTCAACTAACACGCAGCCCACCTCCTCCCTCTCCAGACATACCGCCAGCCCGCCCATTTCTCGTACAACCCGCATCACCTGGCCGGCACACTGCGTCATCAATACGAGCCGGATCGGCACTGCTCGCACTAATCGCGGCTGTGGCGATGCTCTTCCAAGGGTCCCGCGTCTGGGGAAGCTGGTTGGACGACTAGGGGGGGTGGGAGGTTGAGGTTGAGGGAATCGCCCGATGGCCCGGAGAGGGTCGTGCAGAAAGATGTGATGTCTTTTTGACCTGGTATTGGAGCGGGACATGATCGAGAGATCTAGAGTGGAATTGAATGGATCAAGGTGTTCTCGTATGTGACGAGAGTGGACAATTGAGGTATAATTAGATTGTTAGATTGTGAGACTAAGACGAGAGCAGCCGTGAATGAAACGCTGTGGGCAGCCATCTCTAACCCAAAGCCAAGAATACGAGCTTAATTGACGATATCATGATTCCACTCCCAGCAACGCCAACTTGGGGCGGCTTATTTCCAGTCCTCTCGGCTTGCACAGCATCGAGTCCGCTTGCGCCGGACATGGACTCGAAAAGGCCGGTAACTCGTACTTGTATCACCGCAACGAGGTGGCCCGCGCCGCATGTACCACGTACCAACGCGGCGGATCTTGTTCTTTGTCGCCCGCTCTGCTGCTGGCATTCGTAGTACATACTTGTACTAGCCTTGCTAGCATCGTCCGGCAGAACAAACAAGCAGCGAGTCCGGGTTATTATTTCTTACAAGTATTGCTAGAATCTGGTATTTTACGGGGGGGAGACAGTGGAGATACAAGGGGGGGATGTGGTGTTGCTACTATTTGTGGACCGAATCGGCATCAGATGATCGGACACGAACAGCAGAGCCGGACAACTTACCTGAGTGTGTTTGCAGTTGACGAGTCAGTTTGTCTTTGCTGGTCCCTGCTGGCTTTGCTGTAGCTTCTCATGCGTGAGTACTCCGTATGTGTGTACATGTCATGTAGGTAGCCATATACGAGAAGGAGGAGGCGGAAGGACTTGGCGATGGCTGGATACTACGATGCATCGGGAAGGGAGGAGGCAAAAAATCGAGGCTCGACGGGGAAAGCTGGAAGCGGTGATGATGGGCAGGCTGCGTTTGCGCTCGTGTATAAAGGCCGGGCTTGTCCTCGTCTTAGATGGCATCTGCTCAGAACCATCAGCTTCACTCTTCATCTCAGCATCGATAGACTTGCTCCTCCTCGCAACCAATATTACTATTCACACTCAATTCGACTTTCGTTGATATCAATTCGCTCTACACCAGTCAAGATGCAATTGTCCAGCCTCTTCAAGCTCGCTCTCTTCACTGCCGCCGTCTCTGCGGATACCGGTAAGACTTTCCTCCTTCGCATTTCCTCATTACACCCCGTCTTTACTAACAACCATCTCCCGTAGTTTCGTATGATACCGGCTACGACGACGGTTCCCGCTCTCTCAACGTCGTCTCCTGCTCCGACGGCCCCAACGGCCTCGAGACCAGATACCACTGGTCGACCCAGGGCCAGATCCCTCGCTTCCCATACATCGGAGGTGTCCAGGCCGTTGCCGGCTGGAACTCTGCTAGCTGCGGAACCTGCTGGAAGCTGTCGTACAGCGGCCACACCATCTACGTCCTGGCTGTTGACCACGCCGCTGCTGGCTTCAACATTGCGCTCGACGCCATGAATGCTCTGACCGGTGGCCAGGCCGTTGCATTGGGCCGTGTTACTGCTACCGCTAGCCAGGTCGCTGTCAAGAACTGCGGTCTTTAAATCTGCCTCTTTTTTTTTTTTTTTTCGACGAAGATGAAAAAAAAAAACGTGTTAAACCATTTTTGGTTATTGCATTGCATTGTGGTATATGGCGGGATTGCATTGGGCTTGGGTTTTTCTTTTTTTCTTTTATCGTGGGAGTACGGGACGAGACGCATTGGATGTGTAATGAGCACGAAGCACAAGACGACCTAAACGGCATATTATTATTAAATACACAGCACCCTCACCGGGTATCATTAGCATTCTAAACAAATTGTGCCCAGCGTGAATCTGATATGAGAGAAACAGCTTGTCAAAGGCGGGAATCGATGGAGTCTTGTAAGCTGATCGACGTGGCTGGCAGATGGAGATGCATTAGCCGCGAGTTGTTGACGAGTAAGCAGTCACTCATCCTTGGCCACGGAGTAAACATATGCACAGCTCGATTCGTCTAGCTGATGTTACAGTTGTATTGCGGCCGTTTGTCACTCTCAAACTTGTTTCTCATCATCAGCTTCAGATCGACAACACATTGACGTCAGTTAATTCCATTTGTTTGTATCAGCTTACCTTGCAGCTCAGTTTCTGGTTCCCATCACTCCCCAGTCCACTCTGCCTCGATGAACCACATCCTCGACTTCTCCGGTCTCCAAATGTCGTTAAACTTGAACCGATCATCTGCCCTCGCAAACAATTGCCTCCAATCATCCGGCTCCCTCTCCCTGGCGTTTACAGTGACTTGCATGAACAGGTCCAGCGTCCTCATGGTCCTCTCCTCAATGTATCCGGCCGTACCAGGTTCCGGTAAAGCACCGTCGTTGATGATGACCTTTGCTCCTTTCCTTAGCGAAGGGATCAGCGCTCGAAGAATTTGCAGGCAGTATTTGTCTGAAAAGCCGTGAAAGATCATGCGGAAGAAGTAAGCGTCGGCGACAACGGGCTGCGGCGTGAAGAAATCGTGGGTGGTGAGCCCGACTCTCGGTTGGAGATGGTCAGGGACTTTGCCGATGGTGTCCGGGGTGCGCATGCCTGGGGTGTCTTGGACGACGAAGGTGAGATTCGGGAAGGATTCTGCAATGGCGAACGAGATGTAACCCTGGTTGCCACCCATCTAGCACATATATATGTTATCATCCGTCCTGGCGAGGCTTTATATGTCCCTGGAGGGAGTTGCACGGGTATGGCTTACATCGACTACTGTTGCATCTTGAGGGAGCTTGCCCCACGGATATCCTTCAATTACTGATTGCATGGAATAGCCCTCTCCGCTGCCATGGGCTTGCATAGCTAGATTATATCTCCTGGAAAACACTGCATCCTGTTGAATAAAGTCGAACCAAGGAAGATCCTGCTTATACGCGAGATTGACGCCAGTCTCTGTAGACTCTTCGCTCGCAGGCCACTTCTTCATCGCCGGGATGACGTTGGCAACTGGTAGCCACAGGTCGTTGCACATGAAACCAACCCAGTTGCGCAGGGGAGCGTCTTCTCGGATAAGCTGCGAAGTACGTGAATGAGCCACAAATCCCTTTTTGGGCTCTATGAAGATGTTGTTTGTCATTGCGTGGCGGATGAGACGGCGTAGATCGAGCAGGGAGATGTTGAGTCCATTGTTCATCTCCCTGACTTTTGATGTGAGATCTTCATATGAGATGATGCCATCTAGGGGTACAGCGTCGGCAATTTTGAATTCCCATATTGATTGAAGAGAAAGAGTGTTGACACACTGAATAAGTGAGAAGAAATGTGAGCTCCATTCCTTCGGCTCAAGTAGCTGATTGTTGACAAGTAACTTACATCCCAAGCCAAGTACCTCAACCCTTCCTTTGGGCCGAGAGCAATGTCATGCAGCTCCTTGGTTAGAGCTATAAGATGCAATCGAGCCTTGTATGGCTCTTCATCGTCTTGAGAGATGGGAAACTCGACAAGCCCATTGACATCGAACGATGCAGCATCCAGGCCCTTGGCGGTGAGGTGGTCGGTGATAATCTTGGTCTTGGCCGAGATCTCCTCGGACAGAGTCGTCATCCGCTGGACGGAACGTGATGCCATTGTCGGTATTCTGCGTCAATGGGCGACGGGCTGATGGGGTGAGAGCTAAGTCGAGGGATTATTCCACTCCGTTGCTCTCATCGTGTCTCCACCCCTCCTTTTATCCTGAAGCCAATGGTGGATAGGTGTGGTCTTTGGCCGTCGCTTTCCAGCTCCGCGGACGCGGGGAACCTCTGGTGGCACTAGGGAGCGCCAGCCATTACTATGTTAGTAGCTCTACGTGAGGTAAGCGTCGGTATGTTGTGTTTTTGTTTCGATGAAATATCATCAACATGTTTTGATATTTTTTTTATCCAGGTTTTCGGCCTATCACCACATTAAATGGTGTGTAGCCGTGTTGACTATTGTCTGTTAGCTCTCTTCGCACGTCTATTAAATACAGTTCCAATTCTTCTATTGTCCATCCGAGGCCCCGCGTAAAAGGCCGCACGGCAACTCCGTAAAGGGCATCGTGAATCATGCTCCTGTTGTAGAGCCCGCACTTTTTCATGTTGATGTCTTTGGGCCATGTGCCAATGGGTATTTTGAAGGGTATCTCCTCGACGTCGACAAAGCCTCCGTCGGTGACGTTCTTTTTGTTGTGCCGCATCGCTAGCAAGTCGACGCTGAAATTCTCCAGTGCGCGCTTCATCGTCTCGAAGAAGTCTTGGACCTTGTTGCCTTCGCGCACCGTTCCATCATCGCATTTGACTTGGAATTGGAGCTCTTGCAGTTCGATCCATCCGCCAGGTTTCAAGGCTCTATGGTAAAGCCAAATGGTTGTCAGCAAATATCAAAGGTTTCTGTAGCACCGCTATGGCTGAGATACTGAAGCGGACTTACTTGTATGCGCGCGATAGCAACAGAGGCCAATCGCGTATTGAAGAGGTCATATGCCGTATATGGATGTAGTCCAGAGAGGCTTCAGGAATTACCCACTCCGCTTCGGCATCGTCTACTATGAACCGGACGTTTGGCGGTACCCACTGGGGCTGGATGGGACTCAGGTCGATGCCCGTGATTTCGGCTCCTGGATATTCATCTCCCACTGTAGCCAAATTGCGTTGTTAGCGATTGCCCAATGCTTCGGCGCATTACCGGAGAAGCGAAGGAATAGCGAGCTCCTTACTGTCGATGGCCCAGATGCCCGTCCCCGTCCCTATGTCCAAGACATTCTGTGGGTTCTCCAATGGCGCAAAGTGGAGTTTGCCTTGACACAGATGCAGCACCATGGCATGCTTCATGTCCTCCCTCTCCTGCTCCGGCTCGTCGTTGGGGAACTGATATCTCCCCTCCTGAAAGCGGTGGTAGCGCCTGTTGTTCTCGAATTCGTAGTCGCGCACGGCGCTGCACACCGAGGTAGACGCTCGCGACGCCAAATCGGACTCGTAGCCGCCATCGCTGGCCGTGTCGTCGTCTGCTTCGATGCCCGCATCCGACGTCGGGTCTGAGACGAGCGGCGCCTGGAGCGGCTCAAGCCTCGCCGACGCTGCGGTTACCTCAGCTGGACTGGTGGTGCGAGGCTTCTTCGTCGGCGTTGATACGGGCGATGTTTCGTCGTGACCATGCTTGCCCGAGGCTTCCCCCGGCTTGTCCTTGTCCATTGTATTGTCGCACTCGCTTGTTCTTGTCCAGGGCGGGCGGATGCGCGGGCGGTGACACGGCGAAACTGCTCACTATGTGCTCGCCAACGGGCCGCTGGTAACTTGTCAGAATCGCGACGTGGGATCGCGCCCAAAACAGGAAGAAATATCTGACCTTAGTCAGTCATCTGCGCAGCGCATGCGCTCGTGGTCAGATTGGCATTGGATGTTAAATTGACGTCGACAGGGGATCAAGATGCGGGTCATCAAAGAGCCCAATCACGCAGTGGCGCATCGTCACTTTTAATTGCCGACAGCCCCGGGGCAAGTGAAGCGACGGTGCCATTGAGTGCTCCCGCCCATCGTTTTAGCAGCGCGCTGCAGCTTGCGCAAGCTTCCCGTCGTGCTAGGGGAGACGATCCGTTCACAAGGCTCGACTGTAACGCTGCTAAATGCAATCTTCAACGTTACTATCCCTTCGAGTGCGATAAGGCACCACCTAAGTACTCTTAAAAGCAGTAGCCAATCAAAGAGTCAGACATCAAGGATTCTCCCCTCAATCTAGAAGAAAGATGGATGCGGTACTTAGGTGGTGCCTTATCGCACTCGAAGGGATGTATCTTGATTCGTGGATGTTATTTTGCCCCCTCCGGCACGGGCCGTGGACTGGCTCTAGATTCAACAGATAGAAATGGCATGGACTGTCCATCATCCAACAGACGATACATACATACATGCACATTTGATGGCTACTGGTTCTTCTCCTTCTCCTCCTCCGTCGACTCTGGCTGCGGCTTGTCCTTCCCCTTGAAGTACGTCAGGACCCCGCCAACACCGCCAACACCAGCTACAGCGCCTCCAGCAGTCTGAGCTGCGCCAGCCAGCACGCCCACTCCGTATCCTCCAGCGGCAGCGCTCTGCAATGTTGCGAAAATGCTCCCAGCGGCAACGCTGCCAAAGCTCGCATGTATGGCTGATGCAGCAGAAGCTAGAATAGCACGGGCAATAGTCAGTAAGTGATTTGATGAACATTATAGGTATGGATACTTTTAGAGCGTGGAACTCTTATGGATGGGAGCTGGAGATTCACTTACAGGCAGCTATCCCTGCTGGTGTAAAGCCTGCTGCTCCAGCGAGGCCCATGATCGGAGCTGTAAGAACCGCGGGAGCAGCAACAACGAGAAGCCCAGTTCCAGTAGCTACGGTGGCTGCAGCGAGGAGAGGATTCTCCCAGGCTGCCTTGCCGAGCTGTGTGATTATTCATGTTGGCTCGGTCCTGTGTGCAAATATCCATTGACGGGTAATAGATGCTATACTCACCTGCTGAGCCGCTGCTTGGGCGTTGCCCATGAAGTTCGTCGAGCCTTCATGTTGTTCGCTGTCCTGATTCGAGCATGTACATGTACATGTAGCTTTATCCGTCCCAGCGACCTCAGAAGTATCTCGTATCGCAGTGTTTATGCTCGAACACTCGCCGACTATCTCATCGTTCGTGACAGCATCTCCAGCCCTAGAGTGAGTTGTTGCTTCGATCGGTGCGTCTTTGCCGCCAGTCATTCTGATTTCGACGTGAGTGCAGCCTTCTTGCGCTGCTTCGGATGGACTTGCGGCCTTATTGTTCAAGTTTCCTTGCTTCTCTATCGTAGATTGGTCGCTGAGGCGTGCTGCGATGGACTGGTTGATATTGTCAGTATGCACGCTCGGTCGGGTTTGAATCGGTGATACATGATTCTGACATGAACACACATGTCACTTGACTATGATGCTGTGTTACCCACATAGATGCCGGTCTGAACATTTCCGATGGCGTGATGAATGCCTCCTGCGTTGGCATGCTTGGACAGCTCGTGCTGCGCGGTTGCCAACCCTCCTCGAATTTGAGAAAGAAGAGACATTTCTCGCGCTCTCACGTTTTGTTGCAATAGAAGTAACGATGTTGTGAATTTAATCGACGCAACTCACTGTTACGATACGATGCCAACATCTACGAGATGGCGATGTTGGGATGAAAGAGGGTGACAACCAGAAGTTTGGTAGAGGTGCCTGTCAGGGTAAAAAAAGAGGTACGGCCAGGAATAAGATTTCTCCCCTCCATTTCACTCAGGTTCACTTCGGGTTGTTTTATCAGGCAGCTTTCCTGGTAGGCAAGGGGCTGCATTCAATTGGGGGGGCTGCCAATGGTGGCCTGGGAGGCCTACCATGCATACGGCCGTGAGGCGGAATCCAAAATGTCTTTATGACCATGCAAGCCAGGATCTGGAGATTGAAACTTTACTTTCCCTGTATTTCTCGTTCTTAGACTTACCAAGGATAAAAATACCTGTACGTTAGACGTGTGAACTTTGCATTACACGTCATAACAAACGTGGATTTCCATCTCAAACGCCAACGAAGCAGCATAAGCGCCCTTGTGAGATCCAATCACATGTGATAGATCCGTATATCAAGCCAAATAACAGCCGAGCCTCAATCCAAGCAATCAAGTGGCTGAAGCTCCCAGCCAAGCCAGAATGCCACCTCCAATACCTCCCACGGCCGCTGTAACCCCCCCTACGGCTTGAACGATGCCAGTCAAGATCCCGAGGCCGTATCCTCCAGCTGCAGCGCTCTGCATCACCGCAAAGGAGCTTCCAGCAGCAACACTGCCCATGCCCGCTTGTGCGCCTGATGCAATCGAAGCTATAATATGTCATGAATAGTTAGTAGATGCGCAATGGTAATTGCTGTAGACGAAAAAGCCCCATTTAAAGGCCAACGGGACGACTGTCATACCTGCGGCGATGCCTCCAGAGGTAAAGCCCATCAGTCCAGCAATGCCCATAATCGGGGCCGTAATAATAGCAGGAACGGCAGCAATCAAGATTCCAGTGCCAGCAACTGCGATTGGCACTGGGTGTTGCTTCACGATATCGGCAACCTTGACGAATGTTAGTAACTAATAAGTAAGGATGTGTTCATGTCAAAGTCGTAAATCATGTACCTGCTGAGCAGCCGGTCCCGATGCTGCCTTTAGCATTTCCTCACGAGCTCGATCGATGTTTTCTTTGGTGGTATGCTACGTTCAGTTAGTTGGTTACACATCAAAAGACGAAGGGCTTGGGCATTGTACCTGGCTGATGTGCTGTACGGCAGTACCGACGCCATCCCGAACTATCTGGACACCATGATGGATGTTTTCCTGATTGACATGCTGGACAAATACCATCAGTGGCCCGAACGTTGAAAGCGTAATATGACAGTCCGTGAAACAGGGCCTTGGAGAAATACCTGGCCAATTTGCTGGGTTGCCATTCCAATGCCGTCCCGAGCCATCTGGAGACCGTGGTTGATGTTCTCTGGGGTGACGTGCTGTGTACATATGTTAGGCCTCCTAAGTCCAGAACAAGTCGGATGAGACAGTCGGTCTTGAAAACATACCTGGTTGATCTGCTGCGCTGCGACATTGATACCGCCACGAGCTATTTGGATTCCGTGGTTGATGTTTTCCGGGGTAACATGCTAGGTACATTTAGCCACAAGGGTAAAACGACTCAGGCGAGGCAGTAAATCTTGAAGACAAACCTGGTTGATCTGCTGAGCCGCAAAATCAATACCCTCTCGGGCCATCTGGATTCCATGATTGATGTTCTCTGGAGTGACATGCTGGGAACAGTCAGTTGTCTGGATGCGAAACTGGTAAGGACAGTTCAACGATGTACCTGGTTGATTTGCTCCGCTGCGTGGCCAAGGCCGTCTCGGGCTATCTGGAAGCCACGGTTGATGTTTTCAGGAGTGATGTGTCGAGCAGCTTCCTGTTGGGCATGGGCCAAACCATTGGCGATATCGTCGAAAAATCCCATTTTGCTCTTTGTATGGCATCTAACAGGAAACAAAACAGAGCACGAGAAGTAGCTACCTATACGCCAAACACAACGTGAGGTTGGTCAAAGGTGGTAAAGGTGAAGTGAAGGAGGGAGAAAAATAATAAAAACAGCATCACGAATTTTGGCCCTCGTTTGCCTCTACCCCTCCCCGCCTGCAGGTGTTGCAATTTCGGCCATACAGGTGACAGCAGCTGTTTTGAGAGTGCGTGTTGATGCGGGAGGCCTACCAGGCGGTTGAATACGTGTTTGCACTTTATGTACGTGAAAATCCTGAAAAAAAAAAAAAAAAAAACAGGAATGAGGTGCATACATTGAAGTTATATGAGCATCGGGATGGTGTTAAGCCATTGTTTGCGTGGCAAAGTATCTAAATTGTATGAAAGATGGAGGAACCTTGAAGATGAAGTAGATGACCGCTCTTGGAATATCTCCAGCTTTAACACGATGACGCTCGAGCTCTCTTTTTTCACTCTCCATCGTTCTTCTTTCGTAATTTACCTACATACATATATATCTCTACCAAGTTCACTCACACTGATGTCCTTTATAGAGGGGGGTTCAGTAATTGTGCAGTCTTCCTTGCTCTGTTTGTACATGTATCATCTACCGCTCCCAACCACTACCTACCTCTTTAGCCAGCTTCTGATTCGTCCGCTGTCTCATATGCTTAATGAAGCAGCCAATAGATGATCGCCCGTATCCAACTAGCCAGATGTTATTTAGATCGCCGACGAAGAGGAGCTGATGCTTGCGGAAAGGGAGCTAAGAAGGTTCTGACTAGTTCGCGGTTAGCACGCCTGCAATGGAATAGATAACGACAGAGACTTGAGATGATCTCTAACCTTTTATTCACTTTGGTTCTTGCGCTGTCCGTTGCTAACGTGATGAAGAACTTCGTGTAACTTGCCATTTGGGCGGCCTACCATCACCATGAATTGCAACGAGCTGCAGGAAAACACCATCGGGGAGCGGTATATGATCAAGCGCCCCAAAGCGCTTCAATGGTTTCACAACGGCCGACTGGTGAAGCAGAGCGAAGAGGAGAGACAAGCTGGCCGCTTTGAGCTCTTCCTCGACTTACTTTGTACGTCAAATGAGATATGAACTAACAGAAAATCTTTATTTAACACATTTCCCCCCTGCCGGGATCCAGATGTCGCCATTGTCGCAAACTTCAGCGATGACCTCGCCGAGAATCCAGATGGGCAACATCTCGCCAAATACATCCTCATCTTCGCGCCGGCATGGCACATATGGGTAGACCTCCGCGAAATCATGAACTCGTACTACACCGATGATCTCTTACAGCGACTCGTCATCTTATGGGTCATGGCGCTCTTGGTGCTCTACGCAAACAACGCTCGCCTGGTTGATGAAGATTTATCCGCGATGCAAACGACGGCGGGTGCATACGTCGTCGCTCGGTTTACCACCATGTGCACCTTTCTCATCTGTTCTTTCGCCAGCTACCAGCATCGCACGCAGGCGCGCATCATGGCTATATTCATGTTCATCGGTCTCTTCCTTACGATACCGCTCTTTTTCGAAGATGTCAGCATTGGGGCCAAAATCGCCGTGGTCGCAGTCATAATTTTCTACCAGGAATTCACTTGGTCGCTCACGCTGAGTCCATGGCTTAAGCGCAAGCTGAAGCTCACATACAGCACGGCGGTCGACATTGCTCACGAAATTGACCGCATGGCGGCGTTCTTCATCATCATTCTGGGTGAATTTGTCTACAGCGTGATTGTCGGAGACCCAGCCGGCGTCGGTTTAACACTGGGCTATGCCAAAGCTGCTTTCACCCTCATTATCGCGTTTTGTCTCAACTGGATTTACGTCAGCGGCGACGGAAGCTTAGAGGCGACGCACCCAATTCGACGATCTGCCTGGACGGCCTTTGCGTTCTTTCTTCTTCATCTACCGCTTTCTGCGTCTTTTTTGATTGGTGGTCACATTGCCGCTATAAGTACAAGACTAGACGAATTCGAAGATGGACAGCGGTGGCTCTTGGGAGGGGGTTTGGGAGTCGGCATGTTCTGTCTTTGGATATACGGCATGCTCTATCGCACACACGACGAAGATTGCCTGATCATGTCGAAAACGCCTCGAATAGGCATGCGTCTGGTCGTTGCCATAATTCTTCTTTCGCTACCTGCGACGAACAATGATCTATCCACGACGGACTTTATGGCAGTGGTCATGTCACTCTTTGCGTTCTTGGTCATATGGGAAACGATTGGAGGACTATTGAAGGGCGCTCAGGTCTTTGAGCCTTGGACTGATAGGAATCCGCCTTTAAGCGATTCTGAGACTGGCGAGTGAGCGATGAATCGTGGCGGACGGAGGATAGGATAATCAAGGTAACGAATGATTTACCTTGATATTAATAGTAATAACATACCCACGCGGGTGTAAAGCGCCAACACATGTAGCTACAACCCATACCACCAACTCAAGAGAGAACGTAAAACAATTCGCTTGCTAAACATGACATGTGGCCATATGATACTCTGTTAAAGAACATTTAAAATGTATGTTTGCCCACCATAATACCACCTTCTCCGGTCACCCGCATAACCGAGGTTATCTGACCGTCTAAAGCTTGCATTAAATAACAAACACTTCGCCACTTTCGAGCGTGAAATCTTTGTAAACCCCCATGTTCTCACACTGTCGTCTAAGGGCTTCCGTAAGAAAGCGATGAGCACGCTCTAGATTCTTACTGTAGCTGCTCATTGCCTTGAACCGACTAAGAACCCAGCGCTGATGGACCACATTGCTCGTCTCAAGAGCAACAACAAAGAGTGGCCATGCTACTCTAATGGTGCCTTCAACCCCTTGGTGTTTATCAGCTTGAACAGCCAAATCGATTATGGCGGTTATGTGAGCTTCGGGCACGATTTTCATCTTGGTCGTCAGGCCATTTCTCCGAGTAATGCGCAAGAGCTCGAGTTTTACAGCGTGATATATAGGAACAAAGGCACGGATGTTGGCTACCAAGCGATGTGAGTTGTCTGTAGAAAGGGAGATATCTGACGCCACTTCAAGTAGCTCCCCATATCGAAGCTCAATTTGTCTGAAAGCGGATTCGGCCGCTGGTAAACGCTGCCTGAGCTCGTTCACATCAAGATTAGACAATTCAGCCACGATGCCTCGAAGCTGCATGGATGCGCAGAGAAACGCGAAGATGTCTCGATTCTCTACATCGTCCAACAGCTCAACTTGCGGATAGGCATCACCCCACATGGAGCGGTATAGCGAGTTTGAATATCTGTGAAGCGCATCGAATCCGGCAATCGATGATGAATCGTCTGGCGCCATGATGTTTTTCAATTCGCTATTGCACTGGCCGCCGAGCCCAAACGTTGCGGCTGTCGAATCACAGAGAGAAATCCAGACGAGCGTCCGGATTACAAAGAGTGACAGTCCAGGTTGTCGGGAGTCGTTTTGAGGCTTCATTCGGCTCAACACTGGCGTTCCTTGCCAGCCCCGTGTGGAAATTTGATCTGAAAGGCTGCTGCAACGATGCTTTACAATCAAAGCTGCGCCAGCGAGATGATTCGATAGTCCAGAGCACGTTCCGTCTCCATACTTCTGCTCGTAAACAAGCATCAAGTATAGCACCGCACAGATGGGGTCCAACTCCAACTGCCGACCATCGTCTGCCGTCCCGATGGCATCTGCTAAGAGGCCTAGAGCAGCCGAGTAATGCTGAACAGGAGTCCACCTATTTCGATCCCGTTGTAAAAGTTGAGAAGCGTCATCAGCTGCCGCATCCGAAGTGCTGTTTCGCCGGAACTCAATTTCATGGCCGCCGATGGCTAATAACGCATGCATAACCATTGGCTCATCTTGCGCCAGGGTAAATATGATGGAGAACAGTGAGTAATCCGGATTCTTGGTGTGGTGAATCCTAGCAAAGGTGGTACGGAAATACCGGATCGCCTCATGATCGGCCGAAGTGAGATTTAGTGAACTCGCACTGCTGGGGAATTCTGGAAGTTGGGTTGGAAGAGCAAGAGCTCTGGTCAATGCCGCTCGTTGTGCCCAAGTTGGCAATGCCTTTGAATTTTCAACAGCTAGCATATATCCCCGAGATATAGCTAATAAGTCGTTGTGTTTGATCTTTGGCTCATAATCGCCATAATCACAGAGTCGTCTTAGACGTATACAGCGCTTGCATCTCGGCCGCGCCTCATCACACTTCACCTTCTTGATGCGGCATGTATAACATCCATTTTTTGAGCGGCCTTTCTTTGGATGAGGGCCAATGGTGGAGTCGATATGGTCCATGGCAGCCACCCAACTCAGGTTATTGTCTGACTGGCGCTTTGGACTCGTGTTCGCAGGGATATGAGGTCTAGTACGTATGATCTAATGGACGTGCGTTGATGAAAGAGGAGAAGTTGTTTCTCAAAGGCATCGTCAATCCCTTTTGTGGGCCGACAAGATCCTCTCTGTCTTGAGAAACTAAATGACGAAAAGGAGGCCTGTGAGGAAGCAGTCTCGTGCACTTCTCGTGAGGCTGCGTTGCCGACCGTCGGCAGCCTCAGCCGCCGCTAACAATATTGATCAGCAATGCGCCTTGACTCTCTGCCTTGTCAACCCACACGAGAATCATGTGCGGGCTAGAAGCTGAGACTCCGCACGGCGCTAGCTAGGAAGCCGATGGTCGGTAATAGAGATGGGGATTGAATGGTTAGAGATCCAATCACGATGGTGATATCAGATTAGCCGATCGATCGCTCCCACTTTTAGAGACAAAAAGTGTCGAACCATCGATGACATAGCTCAGGTACGAGTATATCTATGCGTCAAAAGCTGCTCAACACTCACTTCACATCTTCATTTGCAAAGCAAAGCAGTATTGCATTGACTTGGCCAATTTTTCTGCGCACTTTTCACACCCTCTGGAGTATTCAAGATGGCTTCCAAGATTGACGTCGAGCAAGTACGGCAGCTTGTCAATTCCCACCTTGACGAATTGAGCCCTCAACTCCGCACAGTCAACCAGACAATTCACGACAACCCTGAGCTTGCTTACAAAGAATTCGCTGCACACGATACAATTACTTCTTTCTTGGAAAAGCTCGGATTTGACGTAAAGCGCAAGACTTGGGGCCTTGATACAAGCTTTGAAGCCACAATCGGCTCGGGAGGTCGCCAGGTTGTTGTGTGCTGCGAGTACGATGCTCTGCCGGACATTGGCCATGGCTGTGGCCACAATCTGATCGCCACATCCTCTATAGCCGCATTTCTCGGTGCCGCCCATGCTCTCTCCAAGCTGAGCGTTCCTGGCCGGGTGAGAATCTTGGGAACACCCGCTGAGGAGGGAGGCGGCGGCAAGGCAAAGCTGATTGACGCTGGCGCCTTTAGCCCTGCAGAAGACATTGCCGCGTCTATAATGGCTCACCCTATATCTGTCAATCGCATAAATAGCAACGGCACAGGCGGCATCTCTGGGGTTGCTGGATTTGATCTCATCGCTAGCCACAAGTTCCGTGTCGAGTTTCGCGGAGTAACCGCTCACGCAGCCGGTGAGCCTTGGAACGGCGTTAACGCTCTGGATGCTGCTGTAGCGGCCTATAACAATGTGTCCATGCTGCGCCAGCAGATCCGGCCTGATGAGAGGATGCATGGTGTGATTGAGGTCGGCGGCACGGTTCCAAATGTGATTCCCGATTACACGCGGATGAACTGGTATGTCCGAAGCCCTACCAGTCAACGTGGGGAGAAGCTGGTAAGGCGAGTGAAGGCATGCATTGAGGCAGCTGGCGCGGCAACAGGTTGCGAAGTCAATTATATCCCGTGAGTACCTACCATTAATCGCTATCTCAAACCTCCCATGATTTACTGGTTTTTATTGATGAACTGGGACATAGAGCTGCGACGTATGAGCATGTCATTTCCAACCCCACGCTATGCAAGGTGTATGCGGAAGACATGAGTAAACTTGGCGAAAAGGTCGAGATAAGCTTACCCGAGAGCTTCAACGCTTCGACCGATATGGGAAACGTGACTCATGTGGTGCCTGGCATCCATGGTGGATTCGGTATCAAAACAGGGCCAAACGTTGCCCTCCATAGCCGCGAGTTCGCCGCCGCTGCAGGTACAGACGAAGCTCACGAGGTGGCAATGAAGAGTGGCAAGGGCATGGCAATGCTCGCTCTGAGGGTTCTACTTGATGATGACATTGCTGCGAGTGCGAGAGCCGACTTTGAAAAGAGGTATGAATAGAGGGAAGACGATTAGCCAGTATCCGAATACCTATATTGAGTGCCTACATGTGCAAGCGTGGCGTGAAAGAAGAGTGAATATCGTCTGTCTTGAGGTGAAACGGTGTTGTTGCTGCAGGTCCCAACTTGTTACCACATGCAGGTTGCAATATTGATATTCGTATGTTACGTGGAGTCGTATTTTGTCTCAAACATGCATGTTACTATTACTCACATGTGCAACCTTGGCTTGGGCATGTAAACATATCTGGACAAACAGGATGCTACGTAAGCGAAAAGAGTCCGATTTTCCTACGAGAAATGCATGAACCTCTCGATTTGGAAGCTCTTAGAGCGAGAGGCGAAAATATCCCAGCAATTTGATACCAATTGCGCTGCTGGAAGTGACACAAGTATTAGGCAAGTTCTGATCGCGATGTTGCACCCGTGCAAACATTTCCGCTTCCAATCTGTATCCCCCACACCCTGCCTAAAGATGGATTGTGTTTGACAGAAATTCGTAACAGACAAACAAAAAAAACCGCAAAAATATGCATATCGATCGTCATTGGATTGAATGGTGATTAGCAAGACAGCAAGTGAATCAACGTCCGTCTTCTTTCCCCAAAGCGTCTACCGAGATTCTCTGTTTGCTGCGGCTGCTTGACAATTTCTTCCAATGAGACGGAGCGTAGCATCCCCGTGTTACGCGGGATGATTTGCGACCGAAAGGCATAAGAGGAGCCGCCCGGGGCTAGCATGGGACGAGCCGTTTGTCTCCATACTGAGGCCTGTACCGTGGGGTTGAGAGGCGCATTTGCCGCTGTGATGCGATGCCGTGAGAGAATCACAAGTAGGTATTCGCATTTGCCTGAGCATGCTTTGAAGCATCAATTGGGGTCTTGGTGAGGACAATTATATAAAACCATCGACAATCACTACTATATTAACCTCAACGTGAAGAGAGAGATCTTGCATAAACTTTGCTTGCCGTTTTCCGACCCAGTGTTTCACTTCACCATTTAATTGTGTGTGCTCGGAAACTTACATGTCGATCCCTCACCATTTCCTTGTCGTTCGCCACGGGCATCGGTCGCGATTAGGATATAGCGCACAAGACCGCTCCGGTAGCCGGCCGAAACGCCTTAAACAAGAAGGACCAGAAGATATCTCAGCTGGGAAAGGGGAGAGGCCAGGGACTCTGGCGTTACACTTGCCATGGCATGGGCTTGCAACATAAATACTGCCTCCGTCCCGAATGCAACACAGATCATTTCCTCGGTTCTCTCATACAACAGAAAGAAAACCTGTTGAAAATGAAGGCCGCTTTCCTCCTCCTCATCGGAGCCGCTGTGGCTTCTGCCCAGACCGTCTATCTCATCCGCCACGGCGAGAAGCCCGATGATGATGACGATCCCAACTTGAGCGCACAGGGAGTGCAGCGCGCCCAGTGCCTGAGAAATGTTTTTGGTGCCGGTTCTCAGTACAACATTCAGTACATTATCGCCGAGAAGCCCAAGGGTATGTAACTTTCCTCCCATAGCTATGAGGCGGATTGCTTTTGGGACAGCGAATCAACTAATCCGGTCAATTGCAGATGGCGCTCGAATTCGAGCTCTCAACACCGTCACTCCTTTGGCCAATGACCTCGGCTTGACCGTTGACACAAGCTGTGGCAAGACCAAGTCCGACTGCGTTGCTGACCTTGTCGACGACTACAAGGGTTCCGGCAACATCCTCATCTGGTAAATTTCCCGAAGCAAGCTGTGGCCCAAATTGATTACGAGCGCAACTAATGCTGAATATCTAGCTGGGAACACAACGAACTTACCAACATTGTCGAATCTCTGGGTGTCAAGAAGGGTCCTGACTACCCCGGCGACTCATTTAACTTGATCTGGACGGACCCTCTTCCGTACAACAAGATTACCAGCACCACCTCCGAGAACTGCCCCGGCTTGGATTAAGTAGTGATATAAATTAGCGAGAAGATGGGACAAAGTTTCTCATGGGCGGCGATGTATATGCTAATGCCCGCGCATGGCTAACATATAGGCGTACAAAAGAGTAAAATGATTTCATAAGTTCGCATACGCCGAGCCAGTGATGCTATTGAGGATCCCATATGATCAGTATGATCCATATACGATACCATGTTTCACAACTAAGTGTAATCAATAAGTAGACAAGATATGCTGAAAAGGGAATACTTAGTCCCGTATATATCCCAATACAAATGAACAATTGACTCATCCTAGAGTTGCGACCAAACAGCAGGATAATCGTAATGAATATACATGAAACAATGCATTAGCTTAAATTTTTACATTATGCCAACGAACAGATCAGGAACCACAACTGAGAACGAGATAGATCTTACATACAGTTGTAGTCGAAACAGTATGGAATTGAACTATTTGATCCGATCCAATAGCAATCTTTCTAATTGTAAACCCAGTCTAATATACTGGTCACTCCCATATTTTCAGCGCACATCTCATAGTTATTAAAGCTTGCTGATTTGCTTGAATACACGTATGAGTGATTATTGACTCTATGGAGCAATATTTCGTATCACCTATAGTAAAAATTCTAGAATACATGTTCATATAGGGCGCGATGCAACCTACGAGCTTAAGTCATCCAAGTTATTTGTACCTCGGGTCGGTAGTGCATGCTCAGTTGATCAAATCAGCAGCCGAGATGGCCGATATCATAAGTCCCAATCAGTTTTATCTATTTAATGTCATCCACTGACGGTGGAGAGGGTGCTGGAGCATCCAATTGAGATATGATGAAAAACACTACCTAGTAGAATGAGCCTGACGATCGCCCGCAGCTAAGGCTTAGCACAGCCATCTTCGCATTAATGCGTTCGGAAAAGGAAGCAGGTTTTAGTTGAAGGCAATACGTCAGATTTTAAAAATTGCGAAACATAAGAGTCGTAACAAGAAATGACAAGGTTCGTAGCAACCACGGTTGACGATCATATGACCTACCGGCAAAGAATTAACTCTGGAAAGCTTGGGTGGGGGTCATGACGTTCTATGCTGAGTGTGATGCCTCAATAGTAGAGTTCAGCAGGATTTATTGGACGTTAAACCAGTATTGAAACAGGCATTGTAATTGGTTAGGTCGCTTACGCAGCCCTATCGCCTTCCGTCTTTGATCGTCAACTCTTGGGACATTCTTTGATCCCAAGTCATGAGGTTCGTGAACCGGCAGTAAGGAAAGCTCCTTTTCTCCGCAATTCTCTATTAGTATGGTCACTTTGCATTCATTAGCTGCATATAGAAGAATCCCCAACCTCGGTTGATCGGCCATTTGAAGAAGACCAGGTTGTCTACTGGTTCGTTTGCTACGGCGCACCTCTTACTTAGAGAGGCTAGCGTTACGTGAAGCATATCGTCACGCTCTTAACATGGGACTCACAGTATCGACTTTGTGCCATCCTGTTGTTGAATCTCAAATATTAAGATAGCTCACTGTTTACATACTCTGTACAGAAATTGAAAATGATAAAAGATGCTTTATCGACGAATGGTAAGTGAAGCAACTTATAATAATTAGACAATGGAATGCACTGTAAGTGATTCGTTTTTTCTCAAGTTGAGAACTTTTATCTTACAGCAATTGCGTGGTAAACGCTCTGTACAGTATCATCAGACTGTCTCCACGTTCATATCTGATGTGAGCGCTAGAATTGGACTCCAGTTGCGGTTATAAGCGCTACATGTTTGAATCAACCATCTCCACATTATTAGCCTACCCGCTAATGTGACTGATGGGCAATCAGGATTGTACGACGTTATGGCTCTCGTAAAATGTGTGTAACCATGGGTTTTCTGTTACTATAAAACCCTCGGCTTGATATCCTTTTGTGCAGCGCTTTTTCTTCGTGGCAAGTATCACCGAAGAAAACCAGCGGCTTGTTTTGAGCAGTTTCGAGATTTTGCAATTATCACAAAGCTATATCAACTTTTATTTACATGTGAACAACTTTCTTTCACTATCCGAAGATCAACGTTTAAACGACTTACTTGTCGTTACCTCGCATCAGTGCAGCATGGATCCCAACCCCCCAAGTGGAGTTGACGTCTCGCGACCTTCTGTCGCTCGAATGGTATAACTCACATTTTTGAATCAGATAGAACTTGTAGAATGAAGCTAAGTTAACCTAAATTTAGTATGACTTCTATCTCGGTGGAAAAAACAACTATCCTTCGGACAGGGCTGCTGTGGCAGCAGTCAAAGAGGCACTCCCTAACATCATCGAAATCGTTGCCGAAGGCCGTCATTTTCTGAGACGCGTAATTCGGTACATGTGTTCTCAAGGCATCGAGCAGTTTATTGACATCGGCTCGGGGCTACCAAGTGCCGATAACACGCATCAAGTGGCGCAGAGGGTAATCCCTAATGCCCGCGTCGTCTATGTCGACATTGACGAGGCAGCTGTCGTTCAGGGCCGACAGATTCTCAGTGGAAACTCATCAACGGCATTTATTCAAGGGTCGGTACTAGAATTGGAGCCCATCATTAACCACCCTGAGACGCGCAATCTCATTGACTTCTCAAAGCCAGTGGGCGTTGTCATGATGGGTCTGTTGCATTTCTTTGATATCGATGTCGACCGCGGTATTCTTAATACCTTACGGCAGACCCTTGCTCCAGGAAGCTTGGTTAGTTTTACTCATGGGGTCCTGGACTATCAGAGGGAAGAGGCGATTGAGCCTCTGCTAGCCGCGTATGCACGGACACCCACACCATTGATAATGAGAACGATGACCGATATTGGAAGAATAATGGAAGGCTTTCCCGCTGTGGAACCAGGACTCATCCTATTGCACAATTGGAAAATGGATATGGCCGAAGAGGGGGAACCTGAGCCTCCACGATCACTCATTTTGGCTGGAACTGTATTAACCATCTAAGTCTTTATCTGATGTCTGTTTTTACAAATGATTCTAAAATGAAAAGAAAATTGTCATATTTTGAGATTAGCCATAATTGTAGAGGTTGTATAGTCATATCATTGCGGACTGCCTGAGGCCCTCAAATGATTTCCCCCGAGCTGAAGAAAACACTGCATCAGTCCACCAGAGATCACAAGTCTCCATAAAAAATAACGGAAATATGTCAAGTTTCAAATACCGAAATTGATGTTACATTATCTTTGGCGTATTAAGCTTGATTCAGAGCTTCCTGTAGCGAAGTTATTCAATGGCGAAGACATGTCTGTCCTCATTAGCAGCGCAAAGCTTATTTATTCAGTCAAATGCTTATATTAACGTTTTTCATCTTCCATTCGTCGTGTAGTCTAACTTGATGTATCGAAATCTGCTCCTCTCTAGTGGCAACGTTTGTGGATTTCCAAAACGCAATAATATTGCTGTTGAGATGCGAAGATGCCATCCACTTGTTAAAACGTAGGCCATCACAGATAACCTCTACTTTAAAGTAAAGCCACGAAGGGTAAATAATTCAATTTCAACAAAATTAGAAGAGAGAAGTCATAGTACCTTCAATTGCTTGCACCTTTCTAGAGACTCGGCAGTTCTCATTTTTCAACTGCCGATATGCCTCCAGTGCACTTAATCCTCGACGCTCTCTTAGACAACGACGATCATATTAACCAGGGGCCCCATCATCCTTCGCATGACCAAACCCTCAGCATGTTCAATTATTAATGCATTAATAACACACCAAGAATACATTGAAATCCTTTCAAATCTGAGCGTCATCGAGGGTATAAGTGAGTCCAGAGTGCGAGTTATCGTCTGGGCAAACAAAGACGCTAACCGCTTATAGTAACATTATCCGCCAAGACTTTGGATTTGATATAAGTCAGGGCCAACATGACGATTCTCTTATTCGAGAACGGCGGGGAAGACGAGGAGGAATTGATAATCCGAGTCATCAGGCAGAGTATTTGCATTTATTACGATTATTAACACGTATTTGCGTTTATTATTGGGATTGGAATTGTAATGATAGAGGCTGAATTATAGAGGCTTTAGGTAATTCTCCCGACTTGAGTCCTTGGCGGGGGGGTTGAGTTGTGGAAGTTTAAATAGCTGTTCGTCTTCCACTCGAACCGAAAAAAAGCTGTCCAAGCAGCACACTCAATAAGCTCTCAAACACACTCATTAACTTGACTATCGCATCTTCATTCTAATACCACTGTTCAATAAACAACAATGTCTTCCTTCAAGGGCTCCGTCAGCGTTACCCACATCGGTACTGCCACTGCGCTTCTTCAGATTGACAATGTCACCTTTTTGACGGATCCTCTGTTCGCCGCTGCTGGTACCGAATGGGACCTCACCGTTGTTGTACTCAAGGCGACCCAGAGTCCTGCTATTAAGCCAGAAGACCTCCCCGAGATCGACGCTGTCCTCCTCAGCCACGAGGACCACCCCGATAACCTTGACGAGGTTGGACGAAAGGTCCTCGAAGGCAAAAAGGTCTTCACCACCAAAGACGGCGCCAAGAACATTGGAGACAAGGCAATTGTCACGGGCTTCGATGCCGGTGACAGGGCCACCCTCGTTGCAGGAGGCAAAACGTTTGAGATTATCGCCACTCCTGCTGAGCACTTGCCGGGAGGCGAGTGCATCGGCTTCCTTGTAACCTCGGCCGATTTCGGAACAACCAATGGCCTGCCTAATGCCATTTACTTCTCCGGCGACACCATTTACAACCAAGATGTTGCCAACAGCCTCAAGGGTTATCACATCAGCCTTGCTCTTCTCAATCTTGGCAGAGCGGCTGTTGACGTGGGTGGGCCTGAGCCTATGCCAATCACCTTAGATGGCAAGCAAGCTTCGCAGCTTATCATCGATGCGAACGTTGAAAAGGTCGTACCCATGCACTTTGAAGGATGGGGGCACTTTAGCGAGGGCAGGGAGCCAGCCGCCAAGGCTTTTGAAGAGGCGGGCGTCAGCGAGAAGGTCTTCTGGCTGCCTCGTGGTGAGAAGAAGGTGTTTTTCTAAAAGTAAATGGTATTGAAGACCCAACGTGGTCCTGAAAACTTGTTTTAAGAATGTTGTATCTGGTCTATGTATGAGTGTTACTGGCGATAGCAGAAGAATGAAGTGAACTTTTTTTCCCTCTCACCACTGTATCAAACTCCATCATCATCCAAGATATACTGGGCAATATAATCGTACCCCCGATCTCTAATGCCATGAATCACTCTTTCACACCACGATATCAGTTCCTGATCGTAGAAGTGATTATACCGGAGGAATTGATAGGCTATCCTTGTCGGTAATGTCGCAGAAATGGCACCAAATAGTCTCATTTCGTCTTGAACCAAATACTCGATGCTCTGGAAGATCCAAGTTGACATTTGAATCGCCACTTCTGTGATGATGGGGCTCTCCGGGCTTTCTCCGCTGATCAACAATTCTTCGTCTATGAGCTCCGGGTAGTCCTCTCTAAGCTTTCTGATGTATACGATGCACATTATCCAGAAAGTCCAATAATGCGTCATAGAATTCGCGGTAGTAATGTCGGGGAACCACACGTGAGCTTTTCCGGGGCCTTTGCCTAGAAGGCGGAAGGATGGTTTGTTTGTGAGACTTTGGAAAGAGACATTCCAGTTGACTAGAGCGTCAAGAAGGTCTTTGAGAGCCATAAAGACAGTATGAGGTGAATTTGCAGTGGGAGAGCCGTATTTCAGCTGGTCAATAGCCACTAAAATAGAGGGAATCGCGGTAGCTTCGGTCATGAGAGCGTGGAACGAGTTGGCTTTGACGTGTTGGAACGGGATTGTCCTCCACTCGTGAGAGGCTAGAAATGTGGGCTGCTTGTTTCGAATCGAGTGAATTATCTAGTTGAACGTTTAATAATGGCAAATAATAAGTTCAAATAAGAGAGTGGCTCATACCATGGCCGGGCGAAGTCCGATAAAAATCCTGTGGGACGGCCCGGAGGAGTAAGCTTCTGGACTGTGCAGCTGGATCAAGTCACTTAAGCCGGCAGCATGAGCCGCGCTGCTGGAGACGGCAGTCGGCAGGATAAGCTATAGAAAGTAAACCCAGTCAGCTTCTCGGGAACAGAAACCACAGTATAAAGCAGGTAAATGGGTTCGGCACGTACTTCCGAGATCATTAGACACATGATGGCTACCGCCAAGACGTCGGAATCGGCAGTGTGTGCTATGTGATGCAGACTGTCATGAAGCGAATGCAATGCGGAGCAATGCGCCGTCAGAGCATCTGAGATCGGCGCTATCCCGTTACGGCCCCTGGACAGGATGGAGACGGCGAGGGCCTTGACTGATGAAGACAGAGCCATCTCATATCGCCGGGTCATGGACAGAACCGGCAGAAGCTCGATCCAAGCTCCACATACGCGAGGATAAATGTCCACATCCCAGTTCATAAATGCCGAATTGCTGGAGAGCACCGTTGGTGAGAAGTTCTGTACGACTAACGAGATGATGTCCTGGAATGGCCAAGCCAGCGAGGGCCTGACTGGTGCCGCGTCAAGTTTGACTATTGGCTTGGCTTCTTGGAATACTTGGTCGCTGCTGTCCGTGGAAGTGCTAGTTCGTGACCTTGGACAGTCACCTCGTTTCTTCCCGACCTTTCCATCCTTGCGCGCCTTGGATTTCGTCGATGGCCCTACGGATAACTGGGATGGTATGAAGACGAGGTCATACTGATACCCTCCGCACTTGATCTTCGTCCCTGCGCATTGCGAGCATGAGGGTCGCTTTCCATCACACTGAGAACCCCAAACTTAGTAATTATTACCGAGATGCAAGACATAGATGTCAGATCGTAGATGAGAGAGATGCATCTCTCCAAACTGGGCAAATTCAGTGTGCGAGTTACTCACCCCCAGCTTGCGTGCCCTGCATGTATGACAGACGGTTAACTTCCGAACCTTCATGGTGTGTGTTTGCTCCAACGTGCTGGATACCAATATAGGCAATATACGACGAACTGCTTGTTCAAGATAGAAGCATAAGCCGAGGGCAATGCTTTTAGCTGACGGTGGCCAAAGGGCGTTGACATATTGTGGAGCCGTTTGTACGGACCGGAATGGCAAGCCGAAGACCGATGGCGAACAACCGGCGAGCTGATTGGGGAAGTCTGATACGAGACTAGACTCTTCAAGGGATCAAAAGCCGCCAAGGGGACCAAGTGGACGCTTGATCTGTGGGGGGCGCGGAAGAGATTGGCGTTTGACAGCTTAATAACAGCAGCGGTCCGCGATAGAGATGCACGAGGGTTGTGAGACTATGGAGGACTATCGACCTGTGAGGCTGTTTTGTGGAAGATATTGTTCGATGGAGGCGGATATAAGGCAGATTCTAGTGTCAGCCACTTTCAGCCAACCTGCACGTTCGAAAAACAAAAGCCTTCTATTATGTGACTGCTCATCTTGAAGAATCGAGAGTTGCAGCGTTCCTATACGGTACATCTATAACACAACAGCTTATAGTTGTCTATCGACGGGATCGGAGCAATAGTTACAGGATGAGAATATCATGCAATTCTCAAACATAATGATAAAAAGAAACTTCAAGGCTGATACAAAACAAATATTTCAGCTGGCCCTTGGCACGGGCTGACTTCATCTATTTGCCTAGGTAAAATGGCATTCGACCCACATACTATCAACCTCCTGCATAGGCATATATCGCAAAAATCTCTTTCAACTTCGTTTTCCCAGCTCGTAGTATCCCTGATATTGCTGAAATAGGTAAATTCTCCCTTGCCGACGTTTTCTTCCGACATTTGCATTACCAATCTGGCCCCCAAATTTGATCGCCACAAGGGTGGTTCAAACTTACCGCCATCTTCTTATTCCCATCGGCCAACTGGTACCCCGATCTATCTCACGATGCGCTGCCCAAAGCGGTGGGCTTTTCTAAACTACTGTATTGTGTTATGTTCCATCTACAATCATCTATCTACGCCTTCAGTCGAGGACTTTACTGTTTGAGCATACAAAATTGTAATAATACTTAATTTCATAGAGCTTATTAGCACGCACCGTAGACAGGAAAACTCGGGTTGCGTCAGATGCTTTTGTTAGATTTGGCGTCTTACTTTGCGATTTTCCTTGAATTCCGTGATCAGTAATCGTTAATAGCACCGCGCTCGATTATTTCCTAGGTGAGCTTGACGCTTTAGCCCTTTTATCTTGTCATCTCGGTATGGCGTACGGAGAACACCAAATAATCCGATGCCGGCGATATTTTACTATCTCCGACCACGTACGCCCTAAACAAGACGAGATATCCGTGTAACATGGCGCCAGGCTTTTCTTTTCTTTTGATCACCTGTGCATATGCTCCAAAATTTCCAATAGTCTTGAAAGGAAAAAATTACATCTCCGTGGGAGAAATGAACCCGTTGATACTTGTGAGTTTTACAGCTGGTTTATAATATGTATCATACATAGCCTCGAAGCGGCAGTACTGCGATCCAAACATCACAGTATGTATCGGAAATCTGTCAACTCGCGGTCTGTCTTATTCGAAACTTCCAATTCCTGCTCCTCAGATCCCGACACATCAGCTGGCAAGCCGTGCTTCGCATCGCGTCGCTTATTCTCGAAGATATAATAGAGGAACAAGGAGAAAACAAAGAAGGTGGCCAATCCATATCCAGCCAGCGTTGCTCTGATTCCTTTCTACATCGCATCGGTTAGAAAGATGGGGTCTTGTCTAGCAACATTAGACAACTTACAGAGTATCTCGGAGCCTGATCAGTCGAATAGAACTGCGGTCCAACAATATTCCCTGTGCAATATGCAACGAAAAGCATGCCCGACACAGTTGATCTCTTGGTAAATCCTCCCACGTTCGATGTGATAAGGCTGAGTTGCAATGGGATGTTGGCGACGTATGTCGTTGTAATCCACGATCCTCCTAGGCGTGACCACTTTTGCTGTGATGGTATAGCATATACCATTACTATACCAACAAGTGAGACAATAGTCATAAAAGCCATAATAATAGTACGTGGGATTTTGGTATATGCCGCTAGGATAGAGGATAGGACCATGGCGCCGAGCTGAAAACCGCCAGATGGCATTTGCATGAGAACCGCTGTGAGGGGATCGAATCCGAAAGAAGCGGTGATAATGCTTCCAAACTACGCTTGTGTTAGACCAGAAATCTCCAACCCAAATTCCAATTCAAGGGGTACATACCGCGGAAATACCGCCATTAGCAACAGAAACCGTAAACATCATCAAGAACAAGAGCCAAGCCTGAGGATCCAGGAGGCCTGCCATCATCTGGGGTGCCTTGAACTCGGACTTCTCCAGTATACCGGTCTTGTTTGCGACTGTACGCTGCAGACATAAAGCTCTTTCGTCTGGAGTGAGGAACCTTGCTTCCGATGGAGAGCTGGGAAGCAATAAGACCAGAGCAATACCCCAAAAGGTGGTCACTGCGCCTAGAATAAGGAAAAGAAGCTTCCAAGTCGCAACCTTGCTGGTGTTGATTTCTCCGATCCCATGAGCGACAAGACCAGAGATAATATTAGCGACAGCATTCCCCGAGAACCAGATGAGCATGCTATTCCATTTTAGTCCATGTTTAAATCCCGAAGATTGTGATCCAACTCACCGCGCTGGTTGTTCCTCGCGCTTGTAAAATAACCCTACGATCAAAGAGAAACCTGGGCTCACTGCGGCCTCCGTCACTCCTAGGAAGAATCGTACAGTCATCAGGCCGGCATAGTCTTTGGTCGCTGCATGGCACATCAACACAATTCCCCACAGCACTACTGTACTGGCGACGTATTTTGCCAGCGGGGCTCGCACCGCGAGATATGAACTGGGAAAGCTCCAAAAGAGGTATCCAAAATAGAATATTGACGATGTCCAACTATATTGTGAGCCATGAAGTCTCTGAACTTGTCAGCAACGGGTATACTCAAATTCGGCTTTCCTCCCTGTTCTCTTTTAGGAAAGAAGTGTATCTAAGCTATTGACCTACAAGATCTGTGAGGATGCCGAGTTGGGTAGCGTATGAGAGGGTTATCTTATCCATAAATTGCAGCATGTAACAGATGCCCATCAAAGGAAGGATGCTACCAATAAGTTAGCATGGAGCCAGGTATATCCTCCATTATGAGGACCATTGATCTTACTATAAGTCTATTTTCCTCACCACTCGGGTTTCCTGCTCTGGGGTTGATTCCACTCGCAAGATATCAGACACATGAACCGGCGTGCCATCATTAGCTCCTCTTAAGTCAGAGAGACTTTCTTTGTCTTCCATTCTGTCTCCAAGTTAAACCGTTAACTGAAGAATAAGGTTAATCGACTGAGAATGGACGGGCGTTCGGCCTGTGCGCCGCCATAGAAAGCCCACGATTGGCTCCAAATATTTTACAAAGAGCTACTGTCTTTGTGTCTATTATAGGCTATTTATATTGGTCGGAAAGTGTCACTATTACGACCCCTTTTCTGGCCATAAACAAGAAATCAATATTTACTCCCCTGCGTTGTAGATTACCATTTTACAAGGGTTTCTATTCAGCTTATCGCCGAATATAGTGTAGAGAGCGGTATTACGGCATGATATTTATGCGGGTAAGCATTTCGATTAGTACAAGGCGCTCAGAAACCCAGTTGGTGACAAGGATTGGTTTACTGATCGGAAGCCGATCCATCGAGGATTCATTAGTTGTTTACGCTTCCGGCGATTTTGATCGGACTTCTATTCTGACCCCCGCAGATATATGTAGGTAGTTAGTACTAAGAACATCTATCCTTCTCTTTAGATGCTGGTAGTCACTATGATAGCGAGTTTTTGAGTGCGCAAGCATCCAGGGCACAAACTTTCACGGTACAAAATTCCCAATCTGAAAACTATAGGTGAACGTATATACAGTACAGTATGAGCAGAAAGATGTTTTTGCGTGGGTCAGCTACACTACGTGATAAAATATATCAAGCTTATATACTTGTCAATAGAGCCATCAATGTAAAAGTCGAAACATTCGGAGCCATGCAAGTACAAGCATAGCGGCTAAGAGATAGCCTGGTGCCTACACAGTACTCTCGCAGCTACACCACTTCAAGAATCATCTCTCAGTCTAAGTTACCATGCTCCTTCTATCAACTTTCAAAAATTACGCTTTGTTTGAGTTTTTCTCCAGTTGTTACTCAGAGGGCTATCCGACCTTGGTTCCTCGCCAGTGTTTTCTCTACAACTCTACCATAGGCCTTATCCGCGAGCATTCTGATCGGCATCCGCCGTATTATAGGCAGCTACAGACCCTTATCGAGGAAGCAAAAAGATAAATCTGCCCCCACACAGAATTGAACTATGGACCTTTGCATTACGAGTGCAACGCTCTACCGCTGAGCTATAAGGGCGCCCGAGTATCTTCCGTAGATTTCCCGTCACTGGACCCATCGTCGTTATTTCCGATTAAGAGCTGAGAGATTCAGGAAATGATTTCTACGAAAGCCATGCTCCGTATACTTGAATGAGCTCGATACTTGGAGAGTAATCGCTGTGGAGGAGGTTGACAACGTTATTGCTGCCTTGCGACAACTACGAGATCTAGGAGCTTCATACGGGGACTTGATTCCATTAGAATATTAGAATATATAATGAGGGCTACAGAGACACTACATGGTTTCAGGTCACGAGCAGGATAAGACGTCAAAAAAGGTTGCAGCAACTCTCAAATTCTCAGACTAAGTAAATAAGCACATGGAAGTGTAATGAGGTAAGAAGCAAAACGGGATTCAAATCTCCTTCAAGAATCCCACCTCAATAAGCCTATCGGCATCGATATTGAGGTCTGCCAACTTCGTGCGCGAGTTCTCCCTCATCCACAGGAATATCCACAACACCCTTCCTCTGAAGAACTCGGCAATACGGCCAGTCATGGAATTGCGACTCTTCACCCTAATGGCTTCCTTTCCAAGAATGTACACCATCTGAGATCCGTATGCAGCCCGCAGCGTCTCAAGCTCCGTCAAATCAGGGTGGCGACCGTTGGAGATGGTCAGCTCAATTTGTCCTACCAATTCGCGCGCCAGGCCCGGGTGCAACACATCATCCATGTAACCGTGACGGAGAGTGACATTGTAGCAGTTGATAAGACCGCTCCTATGCGTGATAACGTAGCGTTCATTGAGGGGCACCGAAGGCACAGTGAGAGATCGCATGTGAAAGAAGATGACAACTGATGGCCGGGCAGCGAACTTGATGACAAAGTGCGTAAAGCATGCGGGTAGGTGCTTTGTGTCTCCAGCTTTGTCAAAAAAGATGCCTAGGCCGGGCACAGTCGAGATGGGCATGCCACCAAACACGTCATTCAGGACGAGAGACTTGGAGGATGACCCTGGGGTTGCCTGGTCCGACTTGACAAGAGTTGCAAGCGTAAGCTGATCCAGCGATTCGGCCTTCCACTGAGCCTCCTTGCCGAATCGCCACAGAGTGAAGACGGAACAAAGAATGGCAGCCAGCACAATGGTGAACCAAGCGCCCTGTGGGACCTTTTGTAGGACAGATGAGAGGTATGCGCCGTCGAGCGCGGCAAAGATCAACCAGACGGGCAGGACGATGTAGAAAGGTAGTCTCCAGACGAGGATCGCAACGAGAGCAACCATGCATGTTGTAACTATGAGCAGCGTTAGCCAAATGAACATTAATATTTCCAGAGGCGGGCAAACTCGTACTAAAGGTAACAGCAATTACACAGACACCATAGGCATTACCGAGAGATGTGGTCTATACAGTTGGTCAGCTAAGAAAGATTAAATAGGGGATGAGAAGACATACGTTGCTATATACAGCAGTGACAATGACAGTGCCAATCATTAGCAGCCAATTCGCCAGTGGAATATAGACTTGCTCGGAGAACTTTCTGCTTGTATGAACGACTTTGATATGAGGAAAATACGAAAGACGCATAATCTGGGTTAGAAGCTGAAAAGCCGATGTGATCATAGCCTGCGATGCGACAATGGCCGCAAGGATGGCCATGACTAAACCGAAGTAGAGAGTTCCAGGGGGTAGAGTGTTGAAGAAAGGGTTTGTGAAAGCCTTTTGAGTCTCATCGGTCGAAATGAACGCAGCCTGGCCAATGTACGAGAGGAGCAAGCACGGGTAAGCAAGAAATAGCCATGAAATTTGCACGGCACGCTTGCTGAAAGCGCCCAGGTCGGCAAAGAGTGCCTCCACACCGGTAAAAGCCAGAAGCAAGCCTCCCAGAGAAGTCCATCCATCCTTTCCGTTGCGGACAAGGTAAGTGAAGGCATAAGAGGGGCTGAAGGCCTTGAGAACCGTGTGATCATGCTTGACAAGGTTGTAGATGCCAGAAACCATGTTAAAGAGGAGCCAGATAGTCACGATGGGCGCGAAGCTAGTTCCAAGCTTAGTGGTTCCAAATGGTTGGATAAGGAAGAGCAACACCAAGATGGCGCACGAGATCCCAACAATGGCCGAGACGGACAAGTCAGGCTTGACGACTTCGAGGCCCTGGATGGCACCGAGGACAGATTGCGCCGGTGTTAGAACACCATCGGCCATGACCATGGAGACTCCCAGCACACCAATGAGCTGTAACATAATCTGGCTGAATTTGGAGTTCTCGAGGAAGTGGCGGAGACTCTTAGCACCAGGCTTGAGATCGTTGGTGTGGTATCTTTCCATGCGGATCATGGCGGCCTCTCTGGGATCTTTGTTTCGTGCGATGTTGGTGTACCTTGCCAGAAGACTGTATAGTGCAAAAGTACCTCCCTGACCGTCGTCGTCGGCATTCAAAACAACGAAACAGTATTTGACCGTGACGATCATCGTCAGAGACCACATAATGATGGACAAAGCACCGACAAGGTCATCCCACGAGGGTTGGCTGGAAAAGGTCGACGAGAAGACGTAAAGCGGAGAGGTTCCAATATCACCGTAGATGACTCCAGTAGCTTGGAAGCTGAGCCAGACGAGAAGGAACCCGCTGTAAGTCTACCGCAAGATCAGAGAGGAATTGACGGCGGCGACCTAACAAAGCCGCCGCCAGGGAGAAGTCGGGGATTGGGGGGAGATGAAGTGTTCCATACTTGCTTACGATGGTCCTGAAGGTCCTCTTCGGTGATTCTCCGCGCCTTTTCTTCCTCGTCTACGTCCAAATCTGCCATCTTGTCCGAAGGGTCAGTCTCCGAGGTTGACAGGTTGCCTTGTTTGGCTGCACCATGATGTGCACTATTGACCCTCATGATCGGGACGTCCCGCTCAATGTCCAAGTCGCCCATTGTTCAATATAGGGTTGTATCCAAAACACGGGATAGGTGTAGAGAGGCTTGGGGATTATTTGCACAAATGCAAATGCAAAACGTTCACATCAACACAAATGGCAACAGAAGGGGGGGCCAGATCTTTATCCCTAACGAGAGAACCCAAAGTCTGACATCACCTGGTCGTGATAATGATGGCAAATACTATTTGCCAATTTCCATTACTGCTTGCTGATAACTACCCGCAGAATTCTGTCCATTCAGGGTATCACGAGACCCTGATAGCAGGGAGTGAGGCCGCCAATCCAGTGCCGCACATCCATGCATGAGGTCCAGGCATCTGGATAGAGTGTACCGTATACATGCCCGGTGGAATATTCACGGCTCAATTCTAAAGCTTGGATAGTTCACGGCAGATGTAACGGCGACAATACATGGGTTGGATTCAGCTCTAGAACTAAAATAATTAGGACGCCACCCAGCAAAGCCCTTGGAGTTTATTATCTTTCGTTACCCTGGTTAGTGGGAAAAACAAATGCCTCATAAGCATCCATTACATGGAGGCATCACCAGGGACCTTTTGTGTTGTTGATGACGGTATCCAGTTATGAGACTTATAAGATGGATATTAAGGCCGTCTGTTAGCCCTATACATCCACGAGGCCTCTTCGGTTACATAAGCATCTGCCCACACTAGCATCTATCCTAGCGCGTGGGAAATCGCTAAGCAGTCACATCTGGATGCTCAACTTGGCGTGTTATCAGCGCCAGGCACCATTTCGGGATAGTGCTCGTGGAGGTTGGGCCCATTGCCATGTGATTTCCCTGGCCGTTTTTATCTTTGTCATCTTAGACAAGTGTAGGTTAATTGGAGGAGAATTTGCATTTGACTTGTACGAGTACTGGGATATCCCGTGTTAGTAGCATGAAGGGGTTTCCAAGTTTGAGCAAACACCCTGAGACTGCCAAATAAGGATTTCAGGTTTGATGAGAGGATTTTGATCCATTCACTGACCCTTAAATTCTTTTTATGGAGAACAAACTTACCACGAATTTTTTTTTTTTTTTTTTTTTTTTTTTTTTTTTTTTTTTTTTTCTTTTTTAGAGCGAATCCATGGTATTGGTCGCTGTCATGATATCATGGACCAACTGTGTGGCGGCAACACCTGTCTTCATGGGATTTTCCATAAAATAATAGCAAATTTTATGGAGAATGCGCAGGATTTGTCTGTCATGTGGCTGCCCTGATCATAGGCCATCAGCTACAGATGCGCATCCGTACGGCAGTCATCTCTCCTGGTGACCTAGTCGGCTTTGCTTTGCGTTTTATCTTACGATCGACGTGGCAAATGAACGGGAAAGTATCTCAACACAAATTCAAACAGGCTGGCTTTTGACCGTCGATGTGATGAGTACTCTGGATAGACCGAGCAACCGTTTTCAGGCCCTTCAAGCCTCGGATATCCTGGAGCTTCTTCACCTGAAATGGGAAGACTTGTAGGGCTGGGAGAGTGATGATCGCTGCTTAGAAATTCCCTATTGTGGAACCATATCGATTAAAAGACCGTGGTTTCCTCGAACATAACTTTGACATTTTAGTGTGACTGATGGGTAATAAATCACGGCGGTGTAGCACAAGTGCGCCGCTGCATGTGGTCATTATGGAGTTTCCGATGGACGATTCATTCAAGTCTATGATGAGTGTCGATTTGTCACATCCTACTTTTGTTTAAAGAGACGAGCTTTTGCAACGGCTAATACCTTACTCAGAATTTTATTCATGTACCTCTCGTTCGCATCTAAATCAGTAGCCCCTTTTGCATTCGGGGTGGAACTAAACATGGTCCTGACAGCTCTTGGAATGTAGTCCCACTTGGCTCTCTCTTGCGGTTCACTTCATCCTGTTGAAGTTGACGAATACATTTGATATCTTCTAGGGCCTTTTGTGTCAAATTTACGACGTCGTTGCACGATTTTTGGAGGAACGGTCGATAAACCTGACACGACATGTCCGTATCCCAAATGTCGAGGCTCGGCCGTTAGAGCCACAGCCGAAGCTCAGGGAGAGCCCAAACACAATGCACATGAGCATCGCGAGAGACAGGTAGATTGTCGTAAGGGTGTGTGAATTCAACAAAGAAGAATGCGTGTAAAATGAATATGTACTGTCTTCTGGGAACTCCATGATACCGTCGCCATGCTTGATATCAGCTCCAACCATGGTCGATCTCGGCGACGGGCTATCCTCGTGGTGCTGTTGCAGCGCTTTGGCCTCTCACCAGATGTAAAGCTGGTGGTGGGTAGGTTGTTTGCTTGACGATCGAGGAATTTCCAGTCCTTGTGGCTATTGGGCACACTTCGGATCAATAACCACTCCTCAGCCCACCTGCTCTCTAATTTCCCTACCTTTTCGTGTATCCAACTTAGACCTTGACATTCATATGTATGCGCAGTCATTCGGAACATCTGTATATTGAGCGACAAAGGTTTTCGCTAAGCTCCCTCAGCTTCAGGTGGATGCATCTGTTTCGCCCGTTAATTAGTGCTATATCGCGTTTGTTGCTTTGTCCTTCACTTTCCCGCAAGTTTGCCCCAAACAGAAGATGTAGTTATAGAATATTAATTAATATAGTATCAGTATATTTATATAGCACCGAAAAGAGAAACAGTAGGAATCCCAGCATACGTTCCGCCGCAGTATTGTTCTGTTGTCGGATCGTCCGGGAAGTTGCATTGCGTATTGCATTGAAAATCGAGCCCCGTATTTGGGTAGTTATAAGCAACAAGGATATCACCACAAGTGCAGATGGAGTCGCCTGTAGTCGTGTCAGTTCCCAGAGTGAAGTACAGTGTTGGGCCCGACGGCAAACTATAGCAGATATTGGCGCAGTCGTCGATCGAGGTTGTGAGAACCTGCTGTGAAGCGTATGGAGTTAGGCCGTACGTGCCATCGTTACTCGCGATATAGCAGCCGAGGTAACCGTACTGGTCCGTGAAACCCGCTGACCCGGGACCAGGGGGGCCTTGGGGACCGATAGGACCTTGAGGTCCAGTAGCACCTTCGGCACCAGTGGCACCTTGAGGACCTGGTAGACCTTGAAGGCCTTGGGGACCCTGAGCACCCGGTAGACCCTGAGGCCCAGCAGCACCTTCGGGTCCTTCAGGACCAGCGGCACCAGCAGGACCAGCAGCGCCGGCAGGACCCGGTAGACCTTGGAGACCTTGGAGACCTTGGAGACCTTGGAGACCCTGAGCACCCGGAGGGCCCGGTAGACCTTGAGGCCCAGCGGCACCGGCAGGACCAGTGGCACCAGCAGGACCCGGTAGACCCTGAAAACCCTGAAAACCCTGAAGACCTTGGGGACCCTGAGCACCCGGTAGACCCTGCGGCCCAGTGGCACCTTCGGCACCGGCGGGTCCTTCAGGACCCATTGGCCCAGGCTCACCATTCAATCCGTTAGTACCTGGGAGCCCGGGTGGACCAGGGGGCCCAGGAGGACCCTGAATACCATCCCTGCCATCCCTGCCATCCCTCCCATCATTACCATCTCTCCCATCATTACCATCTCTCCCATCGTCGCCATCCCTCCCATTATCACCATCCCTCCCATTATCACCATCTTTCCCATTATCACCATCTTTCCCATTATCACCATCTTTCCCATTGTTGCCATTTCTCCCATCTCTCCCATCCCTACCATCATCATCTTTATCACCATCTTTCCCATCGTCGCCATCTTTCCCATCCCTACCGTCCCGTCCATTAGATCCAGGGGGCCCTGCCGGACCTGAGGGTCCTATAGGACTTGAAGCGACATCATGATGGTTGTGGCTATTCCCGTAGCCAATGGAGCTCGGGGGTGTTGTGAAACCCGGTCGTCGGGTATTGTAGTTGTAGCTGGTCCGATCAATAGAGGCTAGAGGCCCTGCGGGACCTGAGGGCACTATAGGACCCGAAGCGGCTTCATGATATATGTGGTTACCCCCGTAGCCAACGGAGCTTAGGGGTGTGATGGAACCCGGCCATCGAGTATTATAGTCGTAGCTGGCCCGATCAATAGGAGCCAGAGGACTTGGTTGGTCTATCCCAACTGAAGTTCTACCATATGTCCCAACGGAAGCTCTGCCATAATCATGATTGGTGATATCTGGTCTGGTATCCAGCCACTTCGGCCCGGCAGGGCTGTCTGTATTACTTACGCCTCCTGCAGCTTGTTGAGCAGGCCTAGTATCGTCATCCATCACTAATACATTAATCGGTTCGACCGATGGGAAACACTGGGTGTCTATAACACACATGAGCTAATGCTTATGAGATCCGTTTCGTTGTAATCTACTCACATGGAACATTGACGAGGTTTGCCGGCGCACAGTCAGTCGGAGTGCTTGATTCGTTGAACACAGCCAGGACCTTGTTCGACGCCGACAAGCAAAAGCTGGCTTTTCCACTAGCAAAGCTCGGATGCCGCCACTGAAGAATGCCATCTTCGAGCGAGAACCCATGGTCGATGGCTCTGATGCTCGGTGTCTCGAGGAGCGACTGGTATGTCGTACCCTCGTTGGTCGCGACTATCTCTCCGTCTGCGAACAACCGGTCGCCAATCAGCGAGAAGAATGTCGCAAACCGACATTCTGTACAAGTCCCCTTTGGGAATAAATAGGAAGGCGTTAGTCTTTTGGGCCTTAGTTCGTCTAGCTGGAGGAGGAACAGAGGCTGGTTGTTGGGCTTGGGCGGAGCTCTGAAACAATGTTGGTTGTAAGCACTTTTCTTTTGCGGCAGACACATTCATACAATGGAAAGTATTGGACTGACCTAACGCCTGCTGACTCAAAACTGCCATCTAAGTAAGGAGACTCTAAGTCAGTAACCTTAAGAAGAGGTAACAGCGCCGAAAACTTGGTGGGTAAACGCATGCTCGTCCGTTGGATGTCGGTCAATGTGAAAATGTAAGGGGATGAAGACCTAAAGCTGAACAAGTGCACTCTCAGGCATCAGGGACAGGCTTCAGAGAAACGCGCAAGGAGGAAACGGGAGCGAAATTACTGCGTGCATTAAGGTAGTATTGCATTACATGTTGATAGTCTTCATGAAATCGACGTCTATAAGTACCTACACTAAGATAAGATGAAAGCAGCAACATTCAGTGCAAGTAAATTCCAATTACCCCGGAAACAGGTCGAAAACTCGTGGGGAAGATCAACATAAAAACAGAGAGCCAGAAAACTTAGGTAATTCCATTTCTCAACTGGATCAACCCTGCTGCATATAGTACACACATTCCATCGCGGCTAATGTACGCCGGTATGTCTTAAAAGTCATCGAGATGCCAAGTCAGCCGTCTTTGAAACCGGGTTTGTTTCGGATGAAAGCACATGCACCTGGCTTGTTTGATTGGTCGGCCCGATTCTTAGGAATGGACTGCAAACATCACCAGCGATGCCGAACGTAGGTCAAGCTGGATTGTGCGGTGTGAGACAAGTCGCCATGTTGCTAACTGCTTTGCTAGACCTTTGTATCGTATAATCTCACGGTCAGTTTTCCGAAAGCTTAGCTCTTGGGGATATAAGCAAGAATAGATGCAACAGAGCGGATCTCTAAACGTAGCTAGAGACCAACAACGTACTCAGATAAAGCTGCGTCCTAGGTACACCAGTAACTGCAACTGTAGACTCATATCTATCCCATCGTATCTATTTCCTGCCTACCATGCAACCAGCCAGCAGGTGTAGGGTATATTGGAAAGATGAGGGCTGGCCGTACCCATGCACGCCCTTGCATGCCAACCCGCGCGGCACGTTTGTTCCTTGGGCAACCCGGCGTACAGGCATTCAGTCATAGTCTACTTCTGGTAGCGGTGAGAATTCGGGATGCTCTATCCAGTCTAATCCGTGATAGTTACTTGGCGTCTGGGCTTCGCCATAATATTCCACAGCCCAGACAAGCTTGTAGTTTCTCAAGAACTAAGAAGTTTGCAGGCTCTATGATGGTGCATAACTATAAACGAGATCCAAGTATCTGGCTGTGTCAAGGGTAAATAGAATGTCGATATGTCGAAAAGCAGACAAATTCCGTCGATTTATGTTATACTAACCTTTAAAGCGTAATTTAGGTCCAGGGCTTTACCTGTAAATTCATAGAGCCAAGTGCGAACAACTTGTCTTGGAGTATTATGTTATATGTTATAGGAGTTAACCGAGTATATAAAGCCAGCATCGCCCTAGTTTATTCTATACTCTACTACTAATAATAATAACCAGAGCCTAACTTCCAACACAAAGTCCTCTTCTGTATTCATCTTGGCAAACTCAACTAGATCCCAGATGCATAGCACCTTGGTTACTCTTTTCGCCGCAGCGCTCTGGCTTGTCCCTGGCGTCCAGGCCTTTACCAATCCTTGTATCTATCAGAGTTACAAGTGTGGTTTTAATCTAGTCAACCACTATGGTAATTACAGTCATCTTCCTTCCGTAATACCCTTTTCTTTCAAATGAATGTCTGTCTCATGTCATTATGCTTCCGCTACACCTATAGGCTACAACCTTACCGAGCTCGCCGCTGGTGTCGCCAGTACGCCATCTATTCCCCCCCTCCCCGACGTTTTGCTTCTCCAGGTCACCTTCCGTTGCATCAACATTAGCGGAGGGATAGTCGGCAACGCGTACTGCTTTGCGGGCTGCATCGATATGAACGGTACTCTGGTCAACGACCAGTGCGTCATGTAAGCTGTCGAATCTTTCTTAAGTTCTAGTACCGACGCCATCTTTATTCAAGATGTTATGGCCCTTAAATAGAGACTATTCGGTGGTGCAAAGTTTCTAAGATTATGTATTTAGGCAAGGCTGAATCTAGAATGTTTGCCTTGAACTTGTTCCGTATATCATTAACTATGGACGAAATGTGTTTGGTTGAAGTTAGGTACTTTCAACTCCTCTCTTTTTCTCAGTAAAGTATGATAGCTCCAGCCAAGATGAAACTTCCGCCTAAACTCGCAGACCATCTCCTTTTTTTGACATCCGTGTGACACATTCATTCCTTTCTAAAGTTATGAAACGACATGACCATACCGATGGAACCAATCAAATGGTAATGGGAATCTTTGTACCTAAAAAGAAACTGAGATAAGCGATTGAAATACTATTTTTTTACCTGACTTTTTAAGGAATTAATAGATATTAATGTGATTATAACCGATCTCAAAAGGGCCCCGATTGTTGGAAATCATGTCGCTAGGGATTGGTATTTCTAACTCGCCGCGACCATGTCCCTTGAGATGGAACCTATCCAAGCCGTATATCTCATATGAAAAAAACAGAGCTTATATTGTGACCAATGAAGCTCCTATTATCTAGAGGTAAGTTTGTGCACGATATGAAGTAGAGACCGACCGAAGTCATCAAAGAAACATATAATTAACTACGCGGGGTTTCAGAAATCGCTACTCTCATTAAAAAAAACCCTGTAACATGGGGAAAAAAGAGTAGTAGCACTATCACAATTTCATGGCTCTAATCCCTCACTCCCTCCAGGCTTGCAAAATGCAAGCCTTAGCCATCGCGGCAACCACCCAGTAACCAATCCACCTTACATGGTACACATATCGTTGACGGTATTATCGCCAATCACAGCACAGTTGACAATGCAGTAAGAGTTGCCGACAATGCCACCGGCTTGATCGGTGCAGCGGTAGAGGACCTGGGCCAGCTGGGCATCTGTAATTGTCGGAGCATCGGGGTTGATATCATATGCTGCTCTCAGTTCGGCAGCAGCAGTGTATCCTTTTCGACAAGGTTAGCTTACAGCTTGATAAGAGGTAGAGGAGAAGTAGAACATACCACCGGCGATCAGTGTCGAGCCACACACATACTCCTGATAAGTACATGGCGTAACGATTTGGGCTGTCGCGACAGCAAGGAGGGTAGCAAGGCTGGCAAGATAGAAACGAGTCATTTTGTTTGTAGTAGGATAAAAATTCTAAAAAATTGAGTGGTTGATAGATTGAGGTCTGTGAGGAGAAGTGTTCTGCATTTATTGTAATTATGAGGTGTGGTTCAACGAGTATAAATAGTTACTACGACCTATTTTGAGAGTTTAACAATTGCCCTCTGCCCCATGACCATCACCATTTCCGGCGAGAATACCGGTGTTCCGAGATCTTTTAGCAGCAATGTCAAAAGACGTAGGGAGCTTGGCAAGTGTCTCAATGCCCTCGTAGTCATACACGCTTAATCGGCATTGGAGAATTGCTCTGTCTTGTGCGGAAATGGGACAACTAAGCATAAAGTTAAATTAAAAGATACGATAAATCGAACTCCATTTCCTAGAATGAGACAACAGTCTATAATGTCTGGTTACAGAATAGGATGAAGACAAAGGGGCCAAGGCACTTACACACTTGAGACTTTCCAAGCGGTGAGTGCTCAAGACGGTTAGAAAAGGCAATACACGGGATGGAATGGGACATATGATAATCAATTCTAAGTATACTAATCAAATAGCCAAGTCATAGGTATGAAAATTCGCTATCGTTTACTGTATTTTCTATATTCACAAGCACGAACTAGAGCATTCTAAACTTCGTCAAAATTGACGGTATTGCAACGTGCCGGCTTACTATATGTAGTTAATCTGATCTGACTATAATTTACAGCCACGGCAAAGTAGAACGTACAAGGGGAAAGTTCGACTTTTGGCAGCCTTAAAGAGTGATTCGCTGTGTTAGAGATCTTGCATGGCTATGTGGAAAGCGCGGCAAAAGCCGAGTTTGCAGGGTAGTGTCAATATTGGGCAGCCTATGAACATCGGGCAACTCTGGTCGGGTGACTCTGAGACCTCTTCCTAAGACATCTTTACTTAGTACAAGGTAGGGAGAACAAGCTTCGTATCAGAGTTGAATAAACCAAACATTCTCGACCCTCAACATCTGGGCCCTAAGAATGTCTTCTCGTGCCCCTCAGAGCCCTATGACGCCCTTTTCCCCAAAGTCCATTACGTCCCTAGCCCTGATCCCAAAATCGCCGATGGTCGTTTGCCCTTGCAGCCTTGTTTCAAAGGGGGATTTACTGTTCATCAGGCGGGACCGACCACCCTCGCAATGTAATGTGTGCAATCGCCGATTGGGTACCCGTGCTGTGCACCCGTAAGAAACACCAGGATCCCTTACACCGAAATGATGACAACGAGCTTGCCCCGCCACATTGTCTTGGATGGACCCGGCATTCTCTGCAATATCTACCCATGAACATGGGTTTGGGTAATGCCTTGCATTTATTTCGTCCTCGTGGTTGCTCTCGTCGCTACAAAGATGTCTCATGCTCGCCCTTATAAACCCCCATGGGGTCATAATACATGCGAGACGCACAGCTGACCGTTTAGTGAGGAAACCGTCTTGCCTAATCCCCATACTCAGATTCAAGTCGGCAGATGCATCACGTAGGATCTGCATCTCACTCGAATATCACGTCTCGGCTCATTTAGGCAGAAGGGGCTGTACATAATAGCCAGGACTCGGGCGTTGCCGTCGCACTGTCGTTCCCGCGTTCCTAGAGATTAAATCAGGAATGTTGAGCCGTTGAAGAGGCTATTTAGCGTCGAAAAGAGCTTTAGGCCCGGCGATCTTCTGAATTGAATAACAGCGATCGTTGACGAGCCCAGCTAGCCCAGTGTTTCAGTGCTTCCAGGCTCTCTACCTCCTCTCTTCAACCTGCTTTCCCAGGGGTTTATTCTCAACCAGAAACACCCGTTATCATCCGTGTGGAGCATTTGCAAGGACGACACAGAGGAGAGACTGCTCGCCAGATACCGACCTGAAGGGACAGGCGACGGATCGTCGGTCTATATCATGCAGGTATGTTCAGCGCAAACACTAACCTTATTTACAACTCAAATCGGAACAGACATCAGTGGGTAATAAAGAACATGGCTTGATTGACGAATATTGGAATGAAAATGTCTAGACGACGGGGAATTCTACTACAGTGAAAGAGAATTTTGATTTGGTCTTGGGGACTCGAGGAACTCTCCAAAGGCAGCTTTCTTCTTGCACAAGATTTATCCTGCCTGAATAGGTCACGAACGCCTAAATTTGCATACTTATTCTGTGTTCCTGCTCATCTAGGCCTATATGCCGTTCTGTCTTAAATCTGTAGACTCATAAGCTCAGGTGCATTCCAGGCCCTAAGCGATGACTTCGTGTTACAATCTAACTCAGTAAAGGTATGTACCCTAGGGAGAGTACGGTTAAGTCTACATACTAATGAGAGCCGAGCTTCTACTGCCTTACGGGAGTACATACCACAAAGGTCGTGAGAATAGGGGGTTTTCACAAATACAAAGATATAAGTCTAAGTAGGAATGATTAAATAACTAGATACGGAGGTTTATTTAATAACACTCCTTGAGATAGTTTCACAAGGCTAACCGTTACTAAAGTGCTCAGACTAAACGTAAGCTACATGTTTTATTTTACCCTTCCACACTTGTGGCTCTAACCGCTTCAACACTACATCCAAATATCATACGATTAGCGGCCCTACTCCCAATATATCAACTAACCATATCCCATCGTAGCTGTCGTAGCAACAAGCCCACGAGACTGGGGCTACTTGGCTTCCCAGGAGATCATTCTCACCAAATTGTTGATTCACAGATTCCCAGCAGAAAGGGTCAGACATAAGTCACCTGACCTCCCCCAGGGACTCAATCTCACCAGGTCTTTGCTCCCCAGATTCCCAGGTAAAAGGTTGAGACATGGAGGCTTCCAGGGCCACTACGACAGACCAGGCCACGAGCTTAGTGCTCCTGCAGATGCGGAAAGTCACGGGAGCTAGGACATTTCTCAGAGTGCGGGATAACCCAAGGCTTCCTCCCAGACATTCCTAACACTGAAACAAAAACGTCATAATTCCGAGATTCCACAGGCTATTAAGAATTCCAACAGTGTGTAAGTTTGCCCGTATGCACGACCGTCAACCGAGACAGATTGAAGAGGGCTTGTCCGCGATTTTTACTGTCATATTACCCATATAAAGATCTATGTATTTAGATACTTGGTAAGCCAAACAAACCAGTAAGTCTTCTGTGTAACGATCTATGAAATAACAAGAGGCCAATAACCTAAAAATATTACTCACACACGCATATATATACTCCATTTCATAGCACTTGTTAGACAGTGTGGAATGATACGCCGTGAACATAGCACTATTATGGAAGCTTACAATAACATCAATTGCAAGGTTAAGCCTTACAATACTAGCTGATAATAAGATTGCTCAATTGTACCCTATCCCCCCTGCTAAGAAGGTGCGGAATAGCAAAGTTAGTAAACTGCAACGCTCAAATAACAAGGCCTTATGGTTCACATATATAAATTACATCACGTCAAATACTACTTAAATTCCATTATAAGGCAGAAGTCAATGAAGATTATATATTTGCTTCTCAACTTTCTTATTCAATCTTCATTCCTATTAATCTGACCCTTAATAACAGAAGTGGAATGTCTGGTCACTCTCAAACGAATATGTACTCACCATGCGAGGAAAGGAATGTGTAGCATACTATAAACTCAATTTGTAACAATATCTTCTAGGTTTTTGATTTGGGAAATAAAGCCATTTTTTCCAATTATTTTTTCCCCTAAAGTATTGACATCTGTTTTGTGTCCTGGGGGAGGGTTCCCTAACTGAGTGTTTATTCCTCTAGGCGTCAATAGGATGTCGGCTGGTTACACAATCCAGTACGGCGATCAAGGCTGCCATGCTGTGAATACAGATGGAAACTTCAGATTTGGGCCTTATGTGACTCAAAAAGTCCTCACGGCATCAGTAGACGACTATGCAAGCTTATGTGCTAGTCAACTTACTGGTAATACTCTTAACTGTTCGCTTGGTAGAAGTTCAAGCGGAGACTTGGTCTGCACATGCGTTAATGTAATCACATCTAATGACAATAGGTATGTAGGAGTGTATTTTTCGTGCAACTCTCCATATTGACTATCTGGAACACCTGGTTGTAGGATTTGCTGTGATAGCCAATTTGGTGATGACCCACTGGTTTTTATGTTTGCGGCAATCTGATTTTAGATTTCCAAACTTTTTAAATATTATCGAGTTTCTTCTGTAACATATCGATATGTCATTGATAAATATAACTGATTTCAGCAGTACATTAGGGAGCCACTGATAATACTATACGCTAGGCAATATATATTACTAAATGTAATAGACTGGTTCGTATATAGTTAGTATAAGCAACTGTTCCTAAGGGATAAATTCTAGACTCTGGGTCTATGTTGGCAGATTGTTACAATCTAGTCCGCCGTAGTAGATAAATTGCTGATAAATGGCTGGTTGCGTTCCAATATTTACTACAAGGCCCAAATTTGCGCTGTTGACGCTACCGTATAACACTCACCTTTGGACCTAAATCACCTGCAGCGCATCCCGTAATTTTGTACCCACTCGAGATTGTTTTTTTGTTCTTAAAGTAGTATACTTGGGCGAGCACTAGCTGAGATGTCTTAGTAAATATATTACCCTTCACTACTATCTTATTACTCAGAGGTTGATTTATATAATACTAGTAGATTCTGACGAGTTATCGATATGGAGGAACAAAAGAGAGAGAGAGAGAGAGAGAGGGGAGGGAAGGGACGGGGTAATTGGATCGCTAGACCAGGCCTCCAATGATGTTAAGTAGACTAATAAAACAACTGCAATTCTCAAAGGCAATAAAAATCTGGTTCTGACTTTCCACCTAATTTTCAAGCATCTTTCCGTTCTCAATGAGGCTGCGACTTGTGTAAGGAACTCCTTAGGAGATAGCAGGGCATATCAGAACTCTCATGAGAACTACAAAGCCATATACAAACATTCCGAAAATTACCGAAACCAGTTCAGGTATCTTTGAGACCTCATTGATGCTGTAACGATAACCAGTGCACCCGC